AATTAATCTGATCATAATATTCACGTCATTACCTTTTCAAATTAAGTGAACCACAATTTTATAGTCGACTTTTTATCGACTATAAAACTTTTTGTCGACGAAGACAGTAGGCTTCTTATTGCAAAGCTTCCGTTTGTAATGACGGATCAAATGAGATATTTTACTGGATTTAATATTTTAGAAGCATACCAGATAGCAGGAAAGCTTACGGCAAACTTACCGTGCAATCTTGCCAAGCTTGCAGAACAAGATTGCTGCAAATTTGTCTTAGGTTGCATTGAATCCCCCTAATTTTTAAAAGTAAATATAAATTCGATTTTTATGGTATAGGTTCTGCCCGACTCTCCCCTACAGAAACATATGTGACAATTATCAAATGAATATTCAATTACATTTTCCTTCCACCGAATAATCTCTGTATTCTAAACAAATATCATGCAATTGACTTAAATAATAAAATACAAACACAAAATTTGATAGCAGAGTGAAGAAACCGATTATTTGAGTGAAATAAATTTTGTCTTCATTGTACAGGTCGCATATAAGACATTAAGAAACATTATGCTTGCCATAAATTGGTACTTATGTATTGCGAACTTACGAAGAGAGAATGTATTGGGTTAGCCAAACTTGTATATACCTATAGGGCACGAATACGAATTAGGAAGTCTAGCCACCGCACTGTAATTATATACAATCCTTTTCTTTCTTCCTCTAAAACACATTCTTTCTTCCTTCTTGTTGGCTCATATATACCGACGAAAGATACACCAACTGTACAACGCGATTCGCCAGGGGCGATCAGCCGCCTTTCTTTGTGGTATTTCTTCGTCGTTTCCACGCAGCGTAAATGACTGACTTTCGTTCCCCGAAAATAGAATTTATAGGTGATTCTATATAGACGCGAAATTAGTCAACCAAAAACTTTTAAAAGCTCTTTGTAGTTTTTATAACCACTTTTACCGCATTAAATATAACAATTTTTCCAGTTAGAAGAAATTCCTGTTTTAATTTGTGACATTTTTGAGAAAAGCTTTTTGCTGAATTCCTGACACATCTTAAAACAAAGTATTTTTTTTAGTTCAAACATTTAGCGGGAAATAAAGTGGTCGCACAGCGCTTCGCGCATGCGCGAACACTTTATTTCCCGCTGAGTGAGTCACCGAACCTAACCTCGATCATCCAATGTTATCCGAACATTTTTACTTCCTAAATTTTTTACAGTGTATGGAGTACTATTATAAATCCCGTGTAGAAATTAGTCGTGGCCTTCCTAGAAATAGACTACAGCTAGATAGCATTTGTCGTGGAAAATTATTCTGAAAAAACTGTCCTGGCCCCGAAATGTTAATGTACAGTTTTCCCCTTTATTTTCTTCGCTACGAAGACAGTCTAGAATCTGGCTAAAATTTGTCTAGGATACTGAATTGAAAATTCAGTACAAGTTCGTATAGCAGGTTGTCCAAGAATTAGCTAGGCACTGTCTAGGACGCTGACTTAAGAAATTAAGAATTTAGTACAAGTTCGTGGAGAAGGTGGCTCTGATAGTCTACTAAGCTAGCAGACGAAATCAGTTCTTGCGACGTAGTGCCTGATGAAAAGAAACCAAGAGTCTACAATTGTAACTTATCTTGTTGTGAAGATAAAATCAAATTTATAAATCTAGTGAAAAGTTTTCAGTTTTCCATTTTTGAACAGGAACAGTGTTCAAGTTTAAATATATTACAGCGAAAAGAAGATTTATTAGAAAAAGGACATGTGATATATGTCATCATTCATAGTCTCAGATTGTTTTTCATATTATAATATTCATAATAAGTAATAAAACTTTGGTAATTTTAAGTGAATTTTTTGTCATTGCAACAATATAATATACAATTAATTTTATTATTGGTATACAAGTACGAATCTTTATAGTGAATGTGTTTGTGTTTTAAAGAAAAAATCCAATGTATTAGTAAAATATGTTACAATTAATTTCAAAAATAATTGTAAGAGGAATTGTGATAATAACAAATACTTTTGTATTACTCTTTTGTTTGTTTAAAAGTTAAACAAACAAAAGGGTAAAGTTGAAAATATTCTTTTATTATTTATAAACCTAACAATTATTCCCAGTATGTAGAAACTGCTTATTTTAATATCCAGGAACTGGCTAGGAATGATTTATTTTATTAGACAAGGACAAGACAAAATAACTGTACAAAATCTTGACGTTGCTAGCGTTACATCCCTCGTTCAAGCCTGTCCATTTTTCCCATCTAGTTGCTAGATTGAATCTAGCGCAACTGGACAGTTTCTCATACACTTCCACGGTAAATTTCTACACGGGATGGCATCAGGAATTGAGAGAGAAGTTTTTCGAGTTAGAAATTTTAATTAAATTTACTTCAAAAATAAATTAAACTGAATAAATAGGATTAAAACAAAAGAAAAATTTATCATACTTATATATAGTAACTAACGATTCTCGAAAATTAAACAATTCTTTAATAATTGCTAACAATAATGTTAGAATTCTATAAGAGAAAAAATTTGTATTTATGAGATACAAAATGTATTTTATGGAATACAGATTTTTACAAATTCGCGGTAAATCATAAGTATATATACAAACTTGAAAGTTTCAAGTCAATGAAGCTTGTCTGTGTCTAAAAAGAGAAAATATATAACATGAGAGGGTGGCACGCAATGTTGAGGGCGTCGCAACCGCAATATTAGATTAATGGTCGCGTACTTCACCCTAATACATTCTTGATTTTCAAACCAGAGCGAAGACAATCGCGAAGGCAATTATATAATACTTTGTTTTTATAAATATGAAATCTTTACTCTTTATTCTTATTAATATTCCGAAGTCAATGAAACTGATTCTTTACACTGCAAAAAATACAGAGTAAAATTTCTCAAAGCTCTTTCTTTAAAAAAAAAAGCTCCAAGTTGATGAAGAAAAGCCCAAAATTAGTCGACTTTTTCGGGAGTTCAAAATCAATGTTTTTGCGAGGTTTGGCCACTTATTTGAGAAAAAGCTCTAAATTCATGAAAAGAAACTAAAATCTAGATACAAATTTTTTCTGTATCGAAAATAAATTCTAAAAAATTTTTGAGTACATTCGCGTGTTTCGGAACAAGCTCTAGTTCAATAAAAAAACTTCAATTTGATGAAAAAAAATCCTTTGATATTCGACTCCAAAAAATTATTTAAAAAATTGTCAAGACCAGCGTTGTTTTTCAAAATAAAAAATTTTTTCTGAATAGAAAATAAATTTTAATAAAGTTCTAAAAGATTCGGTGATTCGGAAAAAGCTCTTCTTTAATGAAAAAACACCAATTTGATGAACAAAAGCCCAAATTTTGATAATCGACTCCAAATTTTTTTTTAAAAAATTGTCAAATTCGTGTGTCGTTTTTCAAAATAAAAATGTTTTCTGAATCGCAAATAAATTCCAAAAATGTTCTGAATTATTCCGTGATTCGGAAAAAAGCTCTTTTTTAATAAAATGAAACTCCAAATTTATAAAAAAAGCTAAAATTTGATAATCGACTTGAAAAATTCTCAAGACTTTCTAGATACAAATTTTTACTAAATCTGAAATAAGTTCTAAAAAAGTTCTGACAGATTCCATGATTCGGAAAAAGCTCTTCTTCAATAAAAAAAGCTCCAGATTCATGGAATAAGCTCAAATTTGATAATTAGTGTCGTTTTCCTAAATACAAATTTTTTCTGAATCGGAAATATATTCTAAAAAAGTTCTGTGTATCTCCGTGTTTCGGAAAATGCTCTTCTTTAATACTTTAGAATCAACTTTCAAGAAAACTGTGTTTAAAAATCCATTACGTAAATTCAGCACAACTGCTCTTTACAATTGAATTAATAATAATATTTACTAACTTGAAGTGATGACTGACGTTTGGCTTTTAAATTTGTTGGTGCTTAAATCCATTATTATCCCAACTCTGAATTATTATTATTATATTATAGGAAAACAAAATATTAGTTCTTTATCGATGCGATTGCAAAAATAACAATCTCTTAAGTCAAATGATGCAAACTTTTCTTATTACACGTACATAGGTATCTCTCAGAAAGTTAAAATTTACGAGTTTAAACGATCGCATTCGATCGTTCTCGTTATATTGTAACTTATGCTTTTGCGATAGATTTCGATCTTGAAGCGATCGCGTTGAAATTGAGGGTCTGACATGACGATGGGGACAAGAAGGCAAAGGCCTCAGCTGCGGAACTTGCGAGCATAAAAATCTTGGAGAATTATGGCTACTCAAATGCAACGGGCAAACGAGCAAACGAGCCGACGTCTTTGCTTGAACAAGGGCAGTAGGAGTCTCCCTCGCGGCCAAAGGTGGGATCCGCGTCTGATCGTGATAAGATGTAGCGGTATCGATTGTCGGGTGACAAAGAGCCAGCGAAACGCCCCCTTAGATCGGGAACGTAAGGCAAACGCTCACAAACGCTTGCGGGGGCGTCCATATTAAATGGACCTACTTCCAGTCTGCAGTTTTGTTTATTACTATTGCGTGAATTGCATAAACTTATGATCCCACGAATCTTACCCTCAAAATATATCACCTTCACTTTAAGTTTAAAATAATGCGAAAAAATTTAACCTCACCCGAATCATCAGAATTTTTAGAACTTTTAGTTCAAACGCACATGGAAGCACTTTGAACTAAAAATTCTGATGATAAAATCTACTCCGAAGACCGAAGTCCATTTTTCATGAACTTTTTTTACCCCTTTTTCCATAAGCACTGAAGGATAAAAGTACTTTTTTAAATTATCACTCTTTTAGGTTATGTACATACTTGTGATCCTATTTCTTGCCTTCTTCTTTTCAAATTATAAACTATTTAAAATTGTAAGGTAGTAAATGTCGTTTTTCCCACAAAAATTTTAAATACTTCGGTAGGTACAGTCGATTTTCTGACAAGTGCTGACATCTGTCGCCAGAATTAGTTACCAGTTACCCAAGAGCAGATATTTGCCATTTGGTTCAGTTGGTTCCGTTCGACGGTTTCACGGTTTGTTATTTGTTTACAACTCTACATATTCACGTGTATATTTATTTCGACTGGTTTCGTTTGATTCTGTTCAAGTATTTTTTCATATTTATTTGCTATTTGATGTTCAATTACATAAAACATGTTTCCATTAAGTACTCAAAAGAAATTCTGGGTATTTACTGATGAAAAGGATTTAATAGAACTTAGACGACAAGCCAATGCTAATTTTGTAGAAAAACACGGTAATGGAATGTCAGTAAGTAACTGCTTTTGTATTTTCCAATTTAATCCCAAATTATAGTTTCTATATGTCTAATAAACCATATTTTACTATTTTTTTGCTCACTCGGAGTCTTTAAGCAAAAAATACAATGGGTTTTATAGGTTATGTTTCTTATTTCTTTTTTTTTAAACAATAAAGCAACAGTACTTTATTGTCGCGCAAACAATGTTTAAGCGTATTTTTACTTTGAATATTCAATTAACATCGTTACTTTTTGTATCCTTTTGTAAATAATAATGATAATAATATACAAAATACAAAATTTTAAAAGAAATATGAAAATTTAGTAGTTGTTTAAAAAATTATTGTTCTTGACATTTGTTAGAACTATAAATTAGAATTCTGTTTTATTTTACAGGCAGAGCAAAAGGCAGAATATTTTCTGTCAGAATCAGAAGAGCGTATCCTGGTTCGCTATTATGAAACACAACTAAGAGAGTTGGGTAAACGATTTAATCCACAAATGCCACGCGCTACCGTTGCAACTGCTTTGCATTATTTCAAAAGGTTTTACTTGAGAAATAGTGTAATGGACTATCATCCGAAGGAAATACTAGTCACCTGTGTATATTTAGCGTGCAAGGTAAAAGTTAACAATTATATTTGTATTTTTCCTTTTTCTTTTTGTAAATCTTATTTTAAATGCTGTTTTTTATTATTTATTTTCAGGTGGAAGAATTTAACGTTTCTATATCTCAATTCGTGGCGAATATCAAAGGAGATCGAGATAAAGCTTCCGATATTATTCTCAATAACGAACTGCTTCTCATGCAACAGTTAAATTATAATCTAACAGTTCATAATCCGTTTAGGCCTGTAGAAGGTTTATTAATTGACATAAAGGTATAAAATTGTGACACGAAGGTTAAATTTTCAATTTAATTTAATTAAATAGTAATGCAATTATTCGCCTTGTGTACGGTAATTTTTAATTGACAATTCTTTTCAGACACGATACCCAGGAATAGAAAATCCAGAAAGATTGCGTCCGCATATAGAGGAATTTCTTGATAATGTTTATATGACCGATAGCGTTTTACTTTATGCTCCGAGTCAAATAGCCTTGTCTGCTATTCTCAATGCAGCTTCAAAAATTTCATCAACTTTGGACAGTTATGTCACTGATATTCTATTTTCCAGAGACCATTTGGGTGGAATAATCGAGGCAGTCAGAAGTAAGTGACTAAAAAAATAAAATTTACTAAACTTTCGACAGATATTCTAAAGTATTTTTAATTTCAGAAATAAGATCTATGGCCAAATTTATTGAAACTCCTACAAGAGACTTTGTAAGGCCTCTAGAGAAGAAATTGGAAAGATGCAGGAATCAAGACAATAATCCTGACAGTGAAATGTAAACTTTTTAATATTTTAATTTTAATAATGCGAAGTGTGACTAAACTAAGCTTATAAAAAATAAGTACTTGAAATTTTATTTATCAGCGCTCAACTTATATTTTTTTTCTTTTTTTTGTATTTTAAATTCAAAATTTTTGTTGTCTAATTTTTTATAAACCAGTTGAATAGAATAACATTTTTTAAAGTAAATGAAAGAATTGAATGAATTGAAAAAGATTGTATAGGAAATATTTATGAAATTTGGCTCCTTTAATCAATTCTGGTAAAATTTCAAGTATTTATTTCTTTCTGCACAAAGCTGATTGCTACAAACATTTTCTCGAATTTTTGAACATTTTCAAAATTCATTCTTATTTAACCTTCCATTGACATATCTTCATAAATTTTTATTAACAATTATTATAGTCTAATTTTCAAAAGAAGAATTGCAATTTGTTTAAAATTAATTTATTTTATGTTTGTATAATTGTGTCAAAAGAAGATTATAATAATATATTAATAATACACAATAATTAATACACTTAATACTTTTTAGATACAAACAAAGAATGCAAGATATGTTGGATGAGGAAGATCTATTGGACAATGAAAAATACGCAAAAATCATTGAAGATCAAGCTGCAAATGATGAAAAGACACTAGGCGTCACTACAGTCTCTCTGAGTGATTAAGGTGATTAATTCCCTCATTCGCAAATAACAATTGTACATGTGTCAAGAACTTGGATTTTGAGATTTCTCAGTAAGTGATATTAAATAGTTTCTAAATTAAATACCGCACATATCTCTTCTTTCAAGACAAATACAACTGATGTAATAAATTTCAGTCGAAATTCCAAATATTTTAAAGAGAATATATAATTTATTAGCAAAACGCTTAAATTTACAAAAAATATTTTTAAAAATTAAAAATTTCAAAATTGTTAAAAACAAGTGAAAACTTATAAAAAAAGAAAAGTATAAAGAACAATTGAAATAACTAAATTTTTCTCGTTATTAATCTACTAGGGGAAAATATAATATTTTGTAATTTGTGGACAATATACATTTTAATAATAATTATTATTTTACGACTCGTGATGCCTGAAGTCTATTCTTTGCATTACATAAGTAGGATGATTTGAAGGTACATCATGAAAAATTGTGTCGTGTTGTCCGGATGATAAGTTACTTGGTAATGGCTGAACAATGGGCAGAGACGATGGTAAAAGAATTGGTGATAAATGTGTTTGTAAAAGTGGCGATCCAGGTTGCGGTTGACCTGGGTAATTAAAGAACCTAAAAAATGTTTTTTTTATTAATATTTATATAAAATATTCAGTAAAACTGAATCTTTTATTGAATTAACTAAAAAATTTTCCCAATATTAATTATTTTGTTTATTTATCTGTATTAGTAAAACAAGTGCCATAGTAAAGATAAGTTTTCTGAAAAAAGCAAATAATTATAGTATAAAGGCTGCTTAATTTCGTACCATAATCGATCTCCAACGAAAATTGGTCTTGGAGCAGGAATTCCCAAGTTTGAATAGTATTGTTGCGCCAAAAGTTCCACGTCATTTGTGTACTTTCTTTTCCATTTTGTTCGTCTATTTTGAAACCAAATTTTGATCTGCAAAAGAAACAGTGATTTTCATATCTAAACTGGGTGTATAGGTAAAAATTGTGCTCTCCCCTTCTTTTCTGTTTAGAAGGATATGTGGAGTTGAAATGGACTGTGTGTAATATATCCTAATTAAAAAATCGACGCCTCTCTGGTCTGACGTTGCTACCACAGCTCGTTAAGTTTGAGAAATATTGTGACAGTTATGTCTGCAGCACGACATGTCTCTCTGCTTTTCATCTACGGTTACTTCTCTTTAGTTTTCAAAAATAATTATTTCGCTTATAATATAAGAAAAACATTTTTTTTAATACAGAGTACTAATTAAACTAGAATAGTGCAAGCTTATGCACTTCTCAAAAAATAGTCGATCCAGGGTTGCTACAAAAATTTAATTTTGTTTTTCCCTTATTTGCAGAATTTTGAAATTCAATAACTGATCAAAATATTATTGTAAAACTTGAAGAAATGGATCACTCCAAGTCTTTGACTCGGAGTGCTCGATTTCTTCATGTTTTATAATAATTAAAGATTACCGAATAATAAAATCATTATTTTATATTATAAGAAAATTGTTACTATAACTCCTTCAAAATTATTTTCATCATTTCAATTAAATTATTAATTTCTACAATTTTTAAATAAAATTCTTCTTTAAATCAATTATTTTTAATAATTTTTGAAAGAGTTCTTTTTGAGAATTTTCAAATCCACTTGTTTACTATTCAATTTTACCAGAAATTTCGATTATTTGGAAATTTTTTTTAATAATTTAATTCTTTTGGGAAATTTTATTAAAATAGTATAATATTGAAAATCATTGAATTAAGAAAAATTTTTGAAAGTAAATGAAATTTTGCTATGCTTTTAATTTTATTAAAATTTTTGAAAATAATTGAATTCTTGTGATGAATGCTATTATTCATCAAAAGAATTAAATTTTGCAGTGAATTTTATTAAAACTCCTGAAAATAATTGAATTTTGTTATTTATTTACAAGGATGATTAAAATGTTGACATTTTTTTTAGATTTTCTGAAAATAATTGAATTTTTCGAAAAATTTTATAAATTTTGAAAATAATTGAATTCTTGTGACGAATATTATTATTTATGGAAATAATTGAATTTTGCAATGAATTTTATCAAAATTCCTGAATATAATTGAATTTCGACGAGAAGATTTGCTATTTATAAAGATAATTGGAATGTTGACGAAAATATTTTATGCAAATTTTATTTATAATAATTGAATTGCTGTGGAATTTTTTTCCAAATAATTGAATAATCGTGTAGAATTTTATCGAAATTTTTGTTAGTAATTAAATTCTTTTGGGAAATTTTATTTAAGTAGTAGATTATTGAAAATCATTTTAAGAAAAATTTTTGAAAATAATTTAATTCTTGTGATGAATACTATTATTTATTAAAATAATTGAATTTTCAATAAATTTTGTTATTTATTTATAAAGATAATTGAAATGTTGACAATTTTTTTAGATTTTTTGAAAATAATTGAATTCTTGTGATAAATATTGATGTTTTCATGAAAATAATTGAATTTTGCAATGAATTTTATCAAAATTCCTGAATACATTTGAATTTCGACGAAGAATTTTGCTATTTATAATGATTATTGAAATGTTGACGGGAATTTAAAAAAGATTTTTGAAAATAATTGAATTTCTGAAAAGAATTTTGATATTTATTGAGATAATTGAATTCTTTCAAAGATTTGCGTCAAAAATTGAAACTAATTTCAACAGAATTGTAATTAAAATTTTTCAAAAAAATACTTCATTAAATGATTTATAAGTAATAACTTTATTATGGCAGTTCTTCAATAGAATTTTCAAATAAATTATTGTCAGAAATAGAAAAAATTGAAGGTTCTTCTTAGAATTCGTGGTAAAAAGACACAAAAATTGAGAATTTTCTTATAAATTCTAAATATTTAGCTTTCTCTCTACTTTTAATAAAAATCCCTGACTTGTGGCAACCCTGCGATCGAGAGATTTAATTACTCATACTCACAGCTTTATCTTCGCTAGTAAATGTAAATATTTAAATATTTCAGTGTCGAAAACAATCAACTTGGTGTTTATAAATGTTTGTGTCCAAAAAAATAGAAAGAAAGGGGTGGTTAGGTGCTAATTGGTCATACATATAAGGAACGATTCTCCCCTATGGCGCCACGAATTGGCGCCTACACATATGGTGCTACATAATTCCTGTAGCCTCATAATTCATAGTTAGTTCATCTCCAGTTCGCGGAAATTCAAAAACTATGGATAGGCTGCGAAACTATATGTGACTTTATTGTAATTCATTAAAAACTCAACTCATGCTGAAGTATTAAAAATTTGAAATATTAATACCCTATAGTAGAAAAAAGTTAATTCATGTTCATTTATCATTTGGGAGTGAGAGAAAACATCTGGAGACTCTGAGAATTTTTAACCCTTTACTGAGAAAGATGCGATTTTTCAGAATAGGTATTCAACACCTGCGTTCGAATTTTATTGAAAATTAAGTTACCTGTGTTTCTGTGAGTTTTAGACTTTTGCTGAGTTGTAATCTCTTCGCGACACTGAGATATTTATTTCTCTCGAATTCAGCTTCTAAAGATTTGATCTGAGATGCTGTGAAAGCTGTCCGGGGTCTTTTCTTCCTCTCCTCATCGCTAGCTGCACTTGGACTTCTGTCGTGAATGTCTTTTTCATCCATATCAACCCTGGTTGTAGAATTCGTATCAATGCTGCTCGTACATGCTTCTGTAAAAGTAAAAAATTCTATTCGCAGAGACTAAATATACACTTTTTGGAAAATACGTATTCGAATTGTTCACAGTCGCTGCGGCTGATGTTTAAAATGATTAAATAAAAATTAAATCTCCATATTTTATTCTCGAGAGGCGTGCCAGACCCATTAAGAAGTTTATGTGATGTACCTCGTGCTCACAGCAGTGTTAGGTTCAATTACCCAGAAGAATTCTCTTCCTCATCAATCTCAACCTTTTTTAAGACGAAGCTGTTTATGTTTATATTTATCCCCCGTTACACGGTGATAGTTGACGCTTATGCGTTTTACTCATCATGAAAAACGTCTTCAGTGTATCTCCACTAGTTTGTTGTGAGTGAGAGACTCAACTTTTAAGCGTCGGCTATCATCTTCTAATTATCTTTCCATTCGTCATATGGCGAGGAACAAAACTCACTAATGAACATGTTTCCAATGATGTGTCAAGAGTACGTAACAATAGTCGATTAGTGAAAGAAAATTTTTGGTAAAAGTACAGCCATCTTTTTGAAATAATAGAAAATTAATAAACTGTGTAATGTAGGAGAAATTTTGGCACAGCAAACAATTGTGCATTATTTAACGGTTACACTGAGGGCAAACGAATGGAGGAGAAAATCAGGTGGCTCGCTGCTGCTAAGCAATAAATATCTCTAAAAACTATTCGTGGCAGGGTCTCATGGGCCACGGAGAAGCGTTTACTGACTACTAATTGTCAGATGGCGACGTAATTGTCGCGTTTTTTTCAGTCTCTCGCACTTCTTAAGCCTAAAGCTCCGGCTCTGGCTCCGGCTCTCGGCTCTCGGCTAAAACCGTACCTCCCTTAACTCACTCACTCAATATTGTGTGAACAAACGAAATTACAACATCTGTAAACCAAACTTGACTTATACAGCGGCAGAGGCAATAACTATTCCCAATATATTGCTGACAGCAATTCTCATCCACCTAATTAACACGTGAAATTTAATGCAATTCTAATTAAAATCTAAACATTATTTAATCAAAGTTAAATTTAAACTCGAAACATTTATCGTTTATTATGTGTCTCTTAATTACACACATTTAAACAAAAAGAGTGTGTGTCATTAACCGGAAGTAGAAGTGCGAGAAAAAAATGCCAAGATTTCTCTGTTCCTGCTCATTTGTCATCGAGTTTCTGTTTCGATTGCATTGAGAAACGAGCTGAAAGAAGAAAAGAAATTAGAAAGGGTTTGTCGAGAAAAGGAATAAAAACTCTGGGCAAAGAAAAAGAAACGTATATATACAGAACGCTGCAGGAATAGAACACCACGCCTTCTCGTTTACCTAATTGCCACGAGCTACACCGAACTTGTCCCCCAATTATTTGTTGATGAATGAAGAGCTAAAGTAAGACAGCTTGAGGAAACGGTGCGATAAACTGTCGCTAATATTCATTCGTCCGTGGTGATTATTTTGTTATGGTATATACTATACATGTACTATAATACATATGTAGATTGATACAAAAAAATTAATTCATTGTTTCTGGAATATTAGTCATTTAATTAACGTATTAATTTCATATCGGGCTAAATTTATGTTTTTTATTAACTTTTTAATTAAAAATTGCAAATAAATTGGTTTTACATGATAATCTCCGCTCGAAATCTGAATTGACAAAAATAACTAATTGCTATAGTAAACTGTTGTCTTACTTTTTGCTTCAGCAATTAGTAAATAATAACTACTTATTAGTAAATAAATTTTAACTAATTTTAATTTACATGGAAATGTACAAAAATTGCTGCAAATTTGAAGTAAAAATTTTTTTGTTTATTTCATAAACACTATACTTTTTCATAGATTTTTTATATCTTCCAATAAAGCCTATAATTAAAAAAATTCATCCATAAGGCACAAAAAAAGTCCCTTTAGTTGATTGGAGATACAAAAAAAAGTCAAAAAAATCCATTATTTTATGCAGTTGTGTTATTAATTATAATAAAGCAGTTTCAAAAATTAGTTTTTTAAAAATATTTTTAAATAATTTCTGAAAGATAGCAGACTTTTTTAATTATAAAATTTAGGGTGGCTACATGTCAGTAAAGTCAGGAAAATGTCATAAAAAAAATGTTTGTCAGAAAAATTAAGAAAATTGAAATTTTTTTCGAATTATTTTTAAAAATTACGACTTTTTCGACTTTTTTTCCAAATATTGCAACAAAATATCATATTTTTTTGTATGAAATGTGACTTATTTCGTTTTTTATAGTGCAAAAAATAACTATAAACAAATCTTTCAAACATTATTTTTGAATCATTTTTCTATTTAAATTTTCGAAATATACAATTAAAAAGATTTTGAATAATTGAAATTTTGTAAAATTTAATTGAAAATAATTAATTTTTTTCAAGTATTTTGTTAGGATTTTTAAAAATCAACTTTTGAAGAATTTTAATTGCAAATTTTCAAAAAATTGAATTATCAAAAATTTTAATGAAAAATCTTTAAACGCAAATTTAAAAATGGAAATTAGCTTCTATTTTTTAAAATTTAGTATTTACAGTACTTTTAATGACATATTTTTGAAAATTCAAATACCTATACAAAATAATATTTTTTAGAATTATTTTTAATATTTTAGTGAAAAAAAGCATGTTCAAAATATTTCATTAAAATTCATCAAAAAATTAATTACTTTTTTTAAATAATGCAAAATTTTCTTGTAGAAAATAATTGAATTCATAAAGGGTTATAATTGTAATTTTTATAAATTATTAAATTTCATAAATTTTACTCATTTTCCGTAAACTTTCATATTTTTAAAAATAATTTTGTCGGGGAAAATTTTTTTAATGACCACTCTGAAATTGAAAGATTTCGAAATGTTAGTTATAGATTTGAAAATACATAATTTTTACAAAATTTTTTGTACGAAGTCTAAAAAAGTAGATTTTTAAAAGATTTCAATTTACTTCTTTTTGGAGCAAATTGAATTGGAAAAAATTATAAAATAACTCTAGAAATTAGTTGTTTTAACATATTGTAATTTAATGTTTCAAAAATAAATGAATTTCTTAAATGAATTTGTGGACAATTTAAAAAAATTAATCAATTTTTCTAAGAATTGCAATTAGAAATTTTTAAAATGATTGATTTCTCCAAAAAAAGTGATATTTTGTTGCAATTTGCAATGCTTGGGAGAAAAGTCGAAAAAGTTGCTTTTTTGGTAAGTAAGTCGCTAAAAGTCGCCTTTTTTTAATACAGTCCGTAAAAATAAAAAAAAACTGAAACTTCCAAGGTATGGAATTGTTAGGACATCAAAATAAATTTGTTACTTTAATTCTTAATTTAATTTGTAATTTTATGAAATTCCTCCGTGCACATAAACTAAATGACGTTTTTAATTTTTTTTTTTAATTCCTAATGTTCAAATACAGAAAAAATCAAATTTGAAAATTTTCGGTAAAACATTGAATGCAGAAGGAGACAAAAAGCAAAATCGCCAATTATGAAAATAATAATTAAAGAAATTTGACAGAAGAGCAATATGCAAATTTTTATAGTTGACTGCAACGATTGCAGTAGTATGAGTATGAGTTTAAAATTTACGCGATATACGATGACGGCTTTGTAGTATCTCAAAGTCTTCGTGCCCCGAACAAGAATCTTACTTTTACTTAGATCTCAAATTTATTGCGTCGACTATTACGCTCAGTAAATCACTAAAGTTGGAGGTGCCACTGAGAAAATTAGTCTGTTACTGTCATACTCATTGAGTCATACGAGCATTTAGGATTAAAAAGAAACAATCAAAGTTTCGTTAATTAAAATTCTTTCAAGGCACTTGTTCCTTAATTAGAATTCAAAGCTGACAAAAGAAGTTTTTTTACTCCCAGAAAAGTATTTTTCATAACTCTACAGTTTGCTCCAAAAAAAGTGCTCATTCAAAAATTGACAACTGCTCGCACTCGTTACGAAATATACTATTTTTCCATTTTAGAAAATAATCTTACTTTTTAAATGCTGAAGAAAGAAACAAACAAAGAACAGATATAAAGTGTTTAAATCACTGGATTTTTATTGTGTAAATAATAATAATGTAGCGAATAATCTAAAATAGGGACAGTTTCACCAACTCTGATTAAAACTTAATGATTAAAGTCAATTTAACCGCTCATGAATTGATTAATTAACTTTTAGTCGGTTTTGATTTTAATTGCAGACTTTGCTTTTACAATAATTAAAAAAATAGTAAATAAGCAGAAAGAGAAGCTATCGAAGCCGAGACCAGTGAAAATTTTGGCTCATCTTCTGCGCTCACCCTTTTATGAAACGATTTTCATGATACACAACTTTCGAGTGTACTGTGTCATGTCTGTTGTGATTTGTTGATGAAAACTTGAAATTGACCTCCATTAGCAAAACTCGGGGCGAATGCGAAATACCTTTGGCAGGTTTTCTTGCTCCATTTGTATAATATTCTTTTTATTCTTTTTTTTCTCAAACACTGCATGAAATAACGTTTTGCCACATTTCCATGGCAGAATTAGGAGTCGAGACAGATAAATAGTGGATGGAGAGTAGAAACATTGAGGGGGCGTGGAACTCGCAGGAAGTAATGGATCATGGAGTTCACGTGAACCTTACCGGCTACGAAGAAGTTGTACAAATGAATTGATAGCATAATTGGTTCAACCTTATAGATATTCTTATAGGACTTATCCAAGAGTAATATCAAACATTCAAACTACTCACTTCATAAACTTCAACGTCAACGAAATATAACTCAAGAAACTATATGAAATTGGTAGAATTCATAGAAATATCCTTGTATTCTTTTGAAACAAGGGTGATGTGTGCATTGCACGTAAAAATATAATTGGAAAATGTATTTAACTGTTTGGACTCGATTAATTCGAATTTTCTGGATAATTTATCCAACCTAGTTATAGCTATAACTATGTCTCTCTAAATTTCTTAGAGCGAGTTTTTACTCCAAAAAGAGTGAAAATTGAGTCATTCCATTCGGAATGAGAAAACCATTCTAAAAAATTAATAGTGGATTCACTCTTAAAGAGTGAATTTTTACATTTATTTCAGTGGAAATTCACGTCAATATTAGAGTCATCGTTAATTTATTAATTCGGGTAAATTTTCACCCAAATTAGTGTAAAAATTCACTCTATAAGAATGAGATGTCTTTCTTTTAGATTTTTTTTTTTACTTTGAATGCAGTAGCTCAATTTTCAGCTCAATTTTTTCAAGTAAAAATCCACTCCAAAAAAATTACAAAGAAAACCTTTTCACTTGGATTCAGTAACTAATAATTTAACTAATTTATTGGATCGCGCTGCAGGTTTAGATTGAAAATATAATTTATTTAATCTCAAAATCACATTAGTGAAGTTTACAATGTTTATAATAAACGATTTAAAAGGAGAAATAATTTTCTATTCAAATTTTTATCCGCAAGTTAGATAAAAAAAATGTCTAAACATAATAAATTGTTTTGCGAGTAAAAAATATTTTTCTCGTTGATGATAAACGTAAACTTTACCTACATTCAAAAGTCTTAAGTTTTGCTTTAAAAAAATATTTATTCTTTTATTTTTCTAAAATTCAGAGATGTTTAATCACATGTATTTATCAAAATCAAAATGATGCGGAATAAAAAGGAAAAAGTTTTTCTTTTGTCCAGATTTATTTGTAATAAGTAATTGAATTGAATTGAATATTTTCAAGATTTAATTTCAACGAAACTATTAACATTTTGAGAGTAAATAAATTACACCTTTAATCTGATTATGATAGAAAATAAATTCATTAAACTTACCGTAAGTTATGTCTGGTTCGGGTGTTGTTGAGCATATAATGTCAGATTCCTCAAAATTACTTTCTTCCATCGCAGACATTGAAGAATCCGGTGTCACTGAAAGTCTTTTTTCTTGTTGACAAACTATCAAAAGAAGAAAACTTTTGTAAAAGACTAAATTTGATTGTAATTATAAAAACAAAAATTGAAATTTAAAAGAACAATGGAGGCTTACAAACTATGCGTCGGAGACTGCATTACGAAAAAATGATGTTAAAAAAAATACCACTTACAGTGTTGTACACATTTTGCAGTATTTTCGTCTTTGTTATTTATTAAAGGAAGTTGTTGATGAAAATGATTGTCCTGAAATCTTTTCTCAGAAGGAGCTAGTAATCTTTCAATACTGAACGCTGATCCTTTCAAGTGGTCACTTTCCCGACATCTCATGCTTAACAATTCATCAGTAGCACTCACTTTTTCAAATGCCATGTTTAATTAATTCTACACTGCACAAAAATATTTAAACAAAACTCCCAATCTGATTTCCGTTAATCAGCATCATTTTTTCGATTGAAAAAATTCAAAATTATCGTTTACAGTTAATTAAAGTACCAATAACAGAAGGAAACAACAAACTTTTATTCAAAATTAACTGTCTAAATGCATCTAAAAAGAAACGTATCTATTCTATTAGTAACACCCTTGTTTAGAGAATTAGAGTTTTGAACGTACTCTGTCACAAGAAAGTGAGTCGTATTAAACATTTTTTTGGCACAAAAGTTAAATCCTTCAACATAAGGCGGATCGAGAAACCCACGTGCTTTAAACGTCACCAACAGATGAACCAATGATTGTAAATTCGGGGCGGTACTTGGCAAGCATCTATGTCTTGGGTTCAAATTTTTTATTATATCGCTCAATGAAAATATTCCTGTTCATAATTAATTAATATATTTACAAGAAAAATATTAAAATAATAACAATAGGAGAGCTTTTAAATTTGTTAATATAGAACAATAGGTAAATTAAAAAGAACTTTGAAAGCTCTTTCGCGAACTATTCATTTATATACAGAAAAACATCAATAATTTAACCTATTATCGTGAAGAAAAACTAAGTAATTCGTGAAATTAAATACACATTTACGTTTTTATTATAATAATCTTCGTAAAATATCGCCGGATATTGAATATCCAAATAAAATAGAAATAATAATATTAAAGCAAACGACCTCATATAACACTAAAGATCAAGTAAAAACAATGAATATTAATATTATCTCATTCATTACACATGATACAAAAAATTTTTTTAAAACGGTGTGTCTATATTTTTCTTTTCTATAACTTAAAACAAATTAATTTTCTCCACAAAGTAAATTTCTCACACATTACACATTTTGAAAATGCTTTTAAAGTACATTGAAGTATGTATATTGAAAATAAATTCAAATAAATCTAGTTATATCGTTATCTGTAATTATTGCTGAATATATCACTTTTAATTTCTTAAACGCTCATTCAAATATAACATGTTAGCGATCAATATTAGACCAAAATTGACTTGGAATGGCTATGGATTTGCCAAGTCTGGGAATTAATTTGTTCAATATTGGTCTAATAATGGCCCATACTTGGTCCGATATGCGGAGTACTGGCTCCAAATATTGGACCAACTTTGGCCCCATGAGAAATTTCTCACTGGGTGGATTAGATAATATCTAAAATGTGAGTACTCTGACAATAAATATTACATTTGTTGCGTGGAATTTCCATTCCATGTATTGTTCTCGTCGTCATCGTCTCTAGGCGAATGGAGTCTATGTATGTTGCCTTGAACTTTATACACTTTCGTACTTCCAGACGGTGGATTTCTTCTGTGAAGACTGGAATAAAAATTTATAATAATTAGTTTTTAAAAAAATATTCAAAGCTGAAGATATGAATTCTCATGATTTAAGAATCAGTTAAATGTATTGAATCAATTTATTTGTTGAAAAATGTTCTTAATAACAGGGCTCGAACTAGGTCCATAAATCCCGCCAAAGTCCGTATATTTGCTTGAAGTTCGTGAAAGCAAATTTTTTTGAAAAAAAGATCCGTCAAGTTCGTAATTTGATTGAAAAGGACGAAAAGTTCGTAAATTTGACGATATAATTTGCCGAATTTTATAGAAATTACAAATGATTGCAGAAATTCAATTGTTTTCAAAAGTAATAAAATTCTTCGCAGAAATTCAATTATGTTAAATTTTTTTTAAATTCTCGTCAATACTTCAATTATCTTTATAAAAAATAAAATTCTCCTCCAAAATTCAATTATTTTCAAAATTTTTAATAAAATTCTTGGCAAAATTTCAATTATTTTCAAAAATTTTCCTCAATTTAATGATTTTTAATATCTACTATTTTAATAACATTTTCCAAAAGAATTCAATTATTCAAAATAAATTTAATAAAATTCTACGCAAGCATTTAATCATTTTCATAAAATAATAAAAATTTCACAGGAATTCAATTATTTCCAAATTTTTTTTATAAATGTCTTCGCAATCACTCAATTATGTTCATAAATAATAAAATTTCTACAGACATTCAATTATTTTCTAAAAATAATAAAATTCTGTTTAGAAATTCAATTATTTTTATAAATAATTAAACTCATTGCAAAATTTCAATTAATTTTATTACAGTTTTAATCAAAATTCTCAAAAAAAACTTAAATTTCAAAAAAAATTTTAAAAACTAAAATTCTTCTGAAATTAGTTAAATTTCTTAATATATATTTAATTGATTATTAAAAATAATGGATTTCTAGAAGAATTTTAGTTAAAAACACTAAAACAAATTGAATTTTGAAGCAATTACAAATGATTGAAGAAATTCAATTATTTTCAAAAGTAGTAACATTCTTCTCAGATATTCAATTATTTTCAAAAATTTTAATAAAAATCTTGGCAAAATTTTAATTATTTTCAAAAACTTTCCTCAATTTAATGATTTTTAATATCTACTACTTTAATAAAAATTCCTAAAAGAATTCAATTAGTTAAAAAAAATTGTAATAAAATTCTACGCAAATATTTAATTATTTTCATAAATAATAAAAATTTCACAGGAATTCAATTATTTACAAATTATTTTCATATATTATTCAATTATTTTCATAAATAATAAAAATTTCACAGAAATTCAATTATTTACAAATTATCTTCATATACACGGAGAGAAAAAAAAGAGAGCCGTTTGATTTGGCAAGAGAGCGCTGTTTTCCCTTTATAAAGCGCAACAGTAGCGCTGCAATCGTCGAACGGTTATACTTTTTGAGGAGTATCGGTTCTCTTCTCCACACAAATAGAGCCGCTTACTTTCCAAAAAGTGTACCCGCTTTCCCCAAAAAGGAGAACCGTTCACCCCTCGAGACATCCTCGAGAGTAAGCAGCGTGCTTAACCTCAAGTTGAACGGCTGTTTCGCATTTAACGCAACCGCTCTACCGACAGGTAGAGCCGCTTACTTTTTTTCTCTCCGTGTATTATTCAATTATTTTAATTAAATTCTTTGCGTAACAATTCCATTTTTTTCAAAATAATTTTAATAAAATTCTTCGCATAAATTCAACTATGTTTAAAAATTTACAAAAATTCATGTCAATTTTCATCAAATTTCTAGAAAAATGCAATTATTTTAAAAATTTTTATTATAATTCGTCAAAAGAATTCAATAGTTATTAAATTCTTTATGAAAATTCAATTTCAAGAAACATTCAATTCTTTAATAAAATATTTATCTTTATAGTCAAATAATTGAATTCTCGTAGAATTTTTTAATAAAAATTGATTTTAAAATGGATTTCAGTTAAAATTTTAGATTATAATTGAACATTAAAAGCATTAGAGCGTGAATTTTTAGAAATAATTAAATTGTGAAAAGGTTTGAATTGGAAATTTTTGAAAATCTGAATTCTTCATTTTTTTAACTAACAATTCTGTGGAATTAACTTTTTTTCAGAAAGTTTAATTGTGGATTTTTTTGAAATTGTAGATTGTAAATTATAAACAAATGAATTTGAAAATTGTCAAAAAACTTTTTCGAAAATTATTAAAAATAATAATCGATTTAAAGAAGAATTTTAGTTAAAAATTCACGAAAATAATAATTGAATTGATAATGATTTTATCACTCGGTCATCTGTAATTATATTATAAAAATAAAACACGAAGAAATTGATCACTCCGAGTCGAAGACTCGACTCGGAGTTATCGATATCTTCATGTTTTGTAGTTATGAAAAATTTAATTTATAGTTTCAAGTAAAATGTTGTCTTATTTGACTCGGAATGTTTATATTTTTGTCAGTAATTGGTCCGTAAAGTCCGTATTTTTAAATACTTTCACTGGTTCGAGTCCTGTACTAAGTACTTTCACTTTATCAAATAATAAGTTTAATTAAAACAGAAAATAAGTAATATAAATACTAACCCTCCCATTCGTTGCATATTTGAAGCATCCTGTGAATTTTCATTACCACTATCACTAAATTCTCCCGAATTAGTCTCATCATTTTGTGATCTTCCTGGTCCTCTATTGGGATTGAAAAAATATCGCATTACATAATTATATACTCCAATGACTGGACTGAAAATAGTCCATATAATGCGAGATAAGAAGCCTACGTCATTCGAAGAAGATATAATTGACTTTGAATTCGACTGTGAAAGAAAAAAAGAATGTCATTATGTTAAATGTCAAATACTTGGTAATACTAATTAATATGCGTATACTTAGTATTTACAAATAGTCGTTACTTACATTTAAAGGTAAGACCAAAATCACACACGTTGGAGTCAATCCTAACTCTATGAGAGATTTGTTGTCGTCTTCGGAAAGGAGGTCCTTTCGTGGAAAAGAAGTGGAAAGTGTAAATTGTTGAAAGGGAATTTCAATTTTAGTTGATACGTAATTTCGCAATGTTCCAAGAGTGACCGTGGGTTCAAATTGTCCCATGTGTGTACCACCGGACGGCAGTCTGAATTGAATTCTAGCGAGAGATGAATCATGATTTGTTACAACCGGTGCTATGATTTGTTGTTTTTCGGATGATTGTTGATCAGCCTGTTTCTGTTTTTAAGAACAGATTTATTATCATAAAGTTAAAGGAACTGAATTTCTAAAGAAAAACAATAAGTAAAATTACCTTAAGAGCTAATTCTCTCTCCTTCCGCAATAACTTATCTTGTGCAATTTGCTGTCTAACTCTTTCTCTTGCAGCCGCATCTTCAGCTTTTTCTTTCAGTCTCTCTTCATGCGACTGTTTTATTTCCAGATCACGTTGTTTTAAACGCATTTCCTGCATCTCTCGCTCTCTCTTCCTACGTTCTAATTCTCTGTCCTTTTCTTTCTTTATTTCCTCCTCGATTCGCTGCTTCTTCTGCAATTCAATCAACTGCTGTGCTCGTTTCACCTTTTCCTGTTAATATTACAAAAAAAATATTAGTGACAATTGGATGTACAAAACTCTTCAAGTACGTACCTCATGTGTTAATTCCGAAGTAGCTGGTGGAGCTGCTGAAGTACTTTCTGTACTTGTAACATTTGCCTGAGAATTTTCTGAACTCGCTTTTTGTTCCGACTGTATTAAAGAAGTTGACGAGCCTGAAGCACTTTTTCCTTGTTTCACCAACAGATCATCGATCTTTGCTGCTACCTCTGGAATTTGATAATTACTCGCAATAACTTCTATTGCCAAACCAGCTGTATCGATAAAATAAATACACGGAACAGGAACCACTTGATCTGTTTTTAAATAATTAAGGAAAATAATTCATTTTAAATGCTGATTAAAAATTTTAAATAACAATTAATGAAAGGATACATATTTGTGCAAAAAATCTGTACGTTTCTGTGCCACTCTCTATTTTAATTGCAACAAAGTGATCTTGCTCCAAACGTGAAGATATTTCTGCAGATTGAATAGTTTCCGCAAATTGAGTGGATAATTCATCTTTTCCTATGAATAAAAATAAAAATTATTTTCGATCCGTTTTTGAGTCCTCAAAAATCAAAACATACATTCACTACAGTGATAAATCATTTTCTTTTTCATAAATGTCAAGTTTTAGAAATAAATAATAAAAATTTGTGACATATTGTAGAACGTAATAATAATAATATTTTCAATTTATTTTGACTAATTAACTCTTGAATATAACCTAAATTTTTATACCTTCAATAAAAGCAACAAAAATTGCTTTTTTCTTTTTAGATGCAAGAACTGCTTCTTGAATGCTTCCATCAAACCACTTCATTTTTTAGGCGATTTTTAAAATTATTTCTGACAGATTATTTAATAATTAAAAGTTAATATGATGTAATTTTATCGAATAAAGATCACAGTTCACTAACAATTTTTATTGTTACGCAATATGTATAGTGTCTTATTGTTCAGTGCAAATTTAGCATAATTGTTGATAACTTTCGTTGACGTTTGAAACTATAATTTTATGAAGATAATGAAATGATAGGAAGACACATATACATATAAACAATATGCCATGTCATGCATAACTTCAAACACAGATTTGCCCCCACAGCTGTACATTCAGAAGCGTAATTTAACATTTTACCAACATTTTACGTCTGACTACGTTACACATGTGTCAGACAAAGACAGCAGAGTTGTGACCGTACCTTAATGTCATAATGTAAACATCCTAAAGGCGAAATCACATGTAGATATTTAAACCTATACATTTCTGTACAGCATGCATGTGCATATACCTGCATACAATACATGTAAATAGAAACATGAAGAAGGAACAAAGGAACGGAACCGTAACTGTGTAGTGGTATGAATCAGTGTATGTGTGAGCTCTAAGATGGTGTAGTGAAAAACGTGTGATAGTTGTTCGTGCTTAATTTATGTTTACAAATAAAATAAAAATCTGTCTACAATGGCTCTCTGCTTAAATAAAGGTAAGATACATTTTTTGAAATTATTAAAAATAATTGTTATCGAAATACTTTGGTAGATTACTAGCGGCGTTTTCGTCGCAACCTATATTTTAGTTGTTTCACAGTTCAGATTGTCCACTTTCAGACATTTTTGTTTAGTTCAGTTCGCACACGTTTCGGGGTGTTGAGATATTAGAAATGCGGAACAGAAACAAAATGTCGTAGTTTGATAATTGTGATTGCGTCTGTTTAATGTATTTCATGTTATAATTTATGAACAAATTTTTAATCTATATTGTTGATAATGCCAAAACATTCCATATTCTTTAAGACAAAAGAATTGAAAATTTTAATCTCAAGTATTCTCTTTTAAGTAAATTAAGTGCTTGTGTGTTGTATAAAGTCTCAAGTGTGCTGCGTCGGTGATTCATTTTTACTACAGGATATACGAGTGAATATCAGAAATACTATGTGATTAGTGAACAGGCCACTTTGTTCAAGAAAAATACTTTCCCCTACTCAATTAGAAGAAAGCGATGCAATTAGACTGAAAACTTGTTGCTTATGTTAGAATTTTCGTTGTTTTTATTCAATTGACATTCCAGGAACTTTAGATAGAAATTCGAAACTTGAACGCGAGTAATGTCAAAATCGGAGGGAGTATGAAGGTGACCGTGTGCTTTGATAACGTGCGAGTGGTGGTTCCTTGTGGGGATGGAACGTTGCTTGTTAGGGATTTGATGCATGAAGCTACATTGCGATACAAGAAAGCAACCGGTAAAAGTGATAGTGCTTTGACGATCACCAGTCTCTCCTCTTTAACGGGTGGAGGTCTTCTCGATCCCGATGACAGGTTATGCGATGTAGCTGACGATAGGGAGCAAATCGTCGCTCATTTTATTTATTCCGATGTTATTCACGCTGGGGGCGATGGTGCTAGTTCTGTGGGAACGAATAGTCCCGACTTTTTTCACGGAGGAGATGGTCATCATCATCACCACCATCATCATCATCAACATCATCCACAGTCGAGCAATATTAAGAGAGAAAGTACAAAGAGGTTATCGATGCATGTACTTTCCACTAGAGAACCATACCTCACTACTTATTCAGCGCAGTCATTACCGCGAGAGTCACGTCGAAAGGAGCCTCTAGGACAGGATGCAAAATCATTTTATGAGTTGTCTAATTTTCCACTTAAAAGCAATGACGAAGGTGAGATTCGAGAAATTGTTATTAAAAATGAAGCTGGTCCCTTGGGACTGCATGTTGTTCCCTGCTATGATTTATCGGGAAACGATCAGGGTCTTCGGGTTGAAGGAATTGAGCCAAATGGAAGGATAGCGAAGGATGGTCAGATTGAATTACATGATAATATTATTAAAATAAATGGTCACAATTTGTTGCGCATGCCTTTTTCTAAAGTGCAGGAGATATTTAGAACGTGCATGAGTGAGCCTTGTTTAAATATATCAGTTTTGAAGCATAAGAAAAAGAATATTGAAAAGTCTGTACAGAAAAGTCCTGGTAATACAAGTAAGGACAAAATAGAAACTGAGGAGAATGTTAAGAAATTACAGGGTACTAATTATAATATTCTTCAAACAGCAAACACTCGAAAGATAGGAAAGATGATAGAAATTGAATTGACCAAGGGGGGCAATGGTTTGGGATTCAGCGTCACAACACGAGACAATCCAGCAGGTGGCCACTGTCCAATTTACATAAAAAATATTTTACCCAAAGGTGCAGCGGTGGAAGACGGACGGCTGAAACCAGGTGATAGATTGTTGGAGGTAAATAAAAAGGAAATGACCGGAAAAAGTCAAGATGAGGTCGTCGCTTTGTTGAGGAGTATTTTACCAGGAGGTAAAGTGAAGCTGTTGGTGTCACGTCAAGAAGAAGTGTCTGCGAATACATCCGACTCGCAAATTGTAGTGCCTGTTTCCGATTCCGTCAACACTTCCAGGAACTCTCAATCATCTCATCGCTCTCCAATAAAGAAGAGCGACGAGGAAAAATTGGATTCATACAGCATGGATAAATTCAATTTCAAAACAATTCAGATTTCTGACGAAGTAGTTTTATCCCCTAAGAAGAATCGAATGATTTTGACTCTAGACATTCCAGTACATGATTCCGAGAAAGCAGGACTAGGAGTAAGTGTGAAAGGTAAAACGAGTAGTAATGACGATAATACTAACGTCGACTTAGGTATATTTATTAAAAGTGTCTTGCACGGAGGAGCCGCATCCAGGGACGGTCGTTTACGAACAAATGATCAACTGCTCAACGTGAATGGAGTCTCTCTATTGGGACTTTCGAATTCCGATGCTATGGAGACTTTGAGACGTGCTATGCTCAATACAAATAGTTCAGTCACTGGGGTTATTTCTCTGACGATAGCCAGACGTGTCTCTTCTTACGACACGTGCGAGAAACACTTTGTTGACAATGTGCCTTCTCATGGAAAATTAGAATCTGTTAACACTGTATATATTTCAGATTCCTCGAAACGCAATGAAGGTAAAGTTAAAGATATTAAAAATAATGTCAATTCTCCATCAGATTCGCTGGACAATGGATCTCTACTGTCGTCAGCTTCAGCCTCCCCTTGGAACCCAGTTATAGACAGACTAACTGAACAATACAACAAGAATAGTCTGCGCAACGAGAGTTACTGTATTGCCACCAACAAGATATGGATGGAGCCATCGAGTAACATCAACGTTAACGTTAAGAAATTAACTCTGCCTCAAAATGGTGATCGCTTAGATTCAGTATTATTGGAAGATTCCAATCACGATAGTCATGGTAATGAAATCAAAAGGAACTCTGAAGATAAGGACAGTCAGTATTCCGGAGATCCTACGTACGATAGCCAATTATCTTTGGAGGAATTCAACTCTCCCACAAATAAATTTTCACGTGACGCCCTAGGTCGACAAAGTATGTCCGAAAAGAGACATGCCGTTCTGGATGCTAAAAATACGGACACTTACAAGAGGAACAAGAAATTACGGGAAGGAAGAGAGAACAAAAGTGCCGAGCACAACAGCCATTCCGAGGACGTTGGTGACGAGGGGAAACGCGGATACAATGTTGAGAAGTTCGAAAAGCTCGGAGACAAAGTGGGGGAAAGTTCGTCGTTCGATAGCAATAGGAAGCATTACGATAAGAAGTATGTGGAGCAACCTCAACCAGAGTACTTATACACTATTCCAGGATGCAACAATAAGCATTCATCGCCTAGGAAACATTGGCTTGTTGACGATGTTCATAGCAATAACATTCCAAACGCGAATAATTTTAACGAGGTAAGAGAAGGATTCTCCAACACACGCGGCGATGTCAAGCAGGCATCATTAAATTCTGCTCTGGATGATCGATACAAACGTTCCAGAAAAAAGGGTGGAATTCGATCAATGCTGCGTCTAGGAAAAAATAGAAAGTCACTTAATTTTGGCGACAATTTAGAAAATCGACATGAAACTAATAATTACTGTAGTGGAACAATTAATTACATTTCGTAAGTTTTTTAAACAAATTTTTAAAATTGAATTTTAACGATAATTATTAATATGTACATATATATTAATATGTATGAAAATTGAATATAAATTGAATAACAAGAAATTATCTTTCTATCATATGACTGAATTGTCTAGAAACAATTGTTATATATATATATATACATATATCAAATTGCAAGTACAGTCGTAGGCATAATGAGCCTACTTGTAAATTTACGAAAAGGACCTGGTTTTAAGTGCCTTATATCTGCATACTAAATACTAAAAGTAAAGAAATGATAGAATTTTGTATATATTTAATTTTGTACTTAATTTTATAATTTGACTACGTTCCACACTGAACGTGCAATGAAAATGTACGTTATGAATGAAAATCGCAAGCACCTTAATAACAATTCAACTAAAACACCAATTTTACCACCAGCCAACTATATTTTTGATAACTGCAAGATATGGAAAAAATCAACTACTTTCTGATCCAGAAATTATTCTTCAATGTGAAAAAATATTCTATATTCTAGTTTAGGTAAGATTTTGCTTTCATTCAAAACAGGTTACTATTTTTATATTATCAATAATAATATACAATCTAGTTGTGAAATCAAAATTAAAAAATATTGCATGCATATATCTTTTTTATACTTGTTTAATATTTTCTCTTCTTTACTACATTTTCATTTGAATTTTTTCACTTTTGTTCCAGTGTTACAGACAGCTCAAAAATCAGTATCGCTTCAGCAGATTCGATTTCGTTCTAAAATAAACATACAAAGACCAAAACCCTTCCATCATGAACGAGGAAAAGTAATGGAATTTTTGACGCCATTCTATGCGAATCCAGATAAAGGAAAAAAATTATGGGAAGTTTGCCACAAAGGAAAGAAGAAGGAAGAACAAAAATTTATTGCGAATCCTTATCAAACTATAATAGCTAGAGAAATTTTAAATTGGTTCAATAATTCCAAAATGGTTGGATTCTTTCATCTGAATTCGATTAAAGCTGAAAATGAATTCAATTTTAAAGTTAATTTGAAGATGTATAACATGTATTCAAAAGTGTACGGACGTCGTTTAATGAAAATAGCAGTAACGGATACAGTTTATGAACCTGTACTTAAACTCTTCTCCTCACCAGTTATGTTAGTGTTTAGTCCTGAGGCCAATGTCAATGCACTTGTTAAAGCTGCTAAAAAGACGCCTGAAGTAATTTTAATGGGTAAAATTTTCAAATAATTGTTTAGAAAAAAAATAATTTAATAATACTAAGTTAGAATTTCTAAATATGTGTTAAAATATTTTTGTTTTACAGCTGGCATACTTGAAGGAAAGTTGTTGAATCGAACTAAATTTTTGGAATACGGAAATATGGATCTAACATCAGCTCAAGTCGGATTGGTTTCAGTATTACAAAGTGCAGGTGGTAACAATTTGAATAGGCAACTAACTCATCATCAGTCAACATTAGTAACAAGGTTGGAACAAATTAGTACATCGAAATCAACTTGCGATAATAATGATTAACTGGTGCATATGTTAAACTTTTTTTATTGGTATATTGATAATGTATCATACGTAAGAATTATGTGAAGCTTTAAGGAATCTAAATTTAGGCACTACATATAACATAAATAATTTTTTAAACATGATTAGTGAGATTAGATACTGTTTTATTCACTTTACCATTATCACATGACGTTCATATATTATATAAAGAAATATTTTTAAAGAATATTTAAAAGTTACAATTCTCTAGAAAGCAAAATTTTATTACATGGTTAAAATTTTAATTTCACCAGTTGGCAATCTTAAAACTTTTGTGATATTCTAATGGCAATAATTGCATCGAGGATGACACTTCACTCCATTTTCTCCACATTTACAACCTCCGGAAGTATCTCCCTTGCCCTAAAAAATACATGATTTATTAATGGAAATTTGTAATCTTGAAAAAAAAATTAAAATATTTAACTGATGAAATATTTTTCTTTAGAAAAAATTGTCGATCTTATTTGATGAAAAGAATTTTGAATTGATTTTAATATACTTACAGCAGGCCCCCAGCGAGGACCCTTTGTGACCCAACAAATTTCAGTTTTACATATTGAGCATCGAAGCCAGTCACAGCCCCACTTTTTCATGACAATAACAGCACACGTGGGGCAAGGAAGAGCCTCTCCTCTGTTTACCATTTCTTCTAAAACAGCTTCAGTCCTTTCAGATTCTTCATTCGTTTCTTTTGAAAGTCTCAATTCGTCTTGATATTGTCGACAATTTTTCCCCATGTGAATAACCTGTATTTAAATTGAAACAATTTGATTAATCCACAGACACTAATCTAATTAATCTACTATTCTACTTGTAAAAGATTGAATGATTATGTTTTTTAGCCAGAAAAATTACCTGACATGTTAAACAGTTGTTATTATGACACACGGGACAAAAGAAGTTGTTGACATTATCGTCGTAAATGCACCAGCCTGGACAGTTTGGAGTCTTGCAATGAAACGCGTTCCCGGCATTGTTCTCAGCTTCTGCGATTGACTTCGATAGGTGTTGCTGATAAACTTTCGGCGCCACAAGCTAAACGTGAGCATCGTCAGTGGTCTGAATGTATTGCATCATATTAAGAAATTACTTACTGCCTTGATTTCTCGTTCCTGGAGAGTTGACTCGCAAGTATATACAGCATCTCGATATGGACATTGCACTTCGGCTTCTTCGCAATAAACAATCGTATTGGTGACGCATAACCTACAGAAAGAAAATAAATATTACGGTAAAGAAAACTTTAATCAACAATTCTCTTCAAAACTAATTGAATCTGTTTCGAGAAATTTTCAATTATCAAAACTTTACAGGAAAGAAGATGGATCATTTTCAGTTTTGAGGCAGAACTTAATTTTCATTTTAGTACTGCATAAGAAGTATTTAAGAAACTGAAATTGATCCACTTGGTACTGAATTAGAAAATTATTTCCAATCAAACATTTTGTTTATTAAAAGCAAAAACCTGCAGAACGTATGCAGACAATCTCTTAGGGTTACTCCTTCTTCTGGAGCGTAGGTTACGAAACATATCGGACAATCGAAAGGCTCTGAATTCGGAATTAAATCACGATTTTCCAAAGACATTAATTCTTCATAACGTTTCAACTTGATTTCCTCGGAATTTTTTTCTGTTTTAATATGTTTAAAACTTATTCCTGGATTTCCTTCGTACTTCTGGTAAATTAAAAAGATTGTTAATAATGTACTATTAAAATGTTTACATAAAATCAGAGAACATCACGAAAGTTTTGTTTTATTTTAGTTTCTGAGTCTATACAAAAGTAGAAACTGAGTTTAGTTTCATGACAACCAGAAACTAAAGTAAAAGAATAATTTTATTTCAGTGTGAATCCAAAATAAATATTTGAGAAACCTAATTATTTAATGTAATAAAATGTCACAGCAAAAAAAGTCAGTTTTTTTTAAAAAATGATCCATAAAGTCCGTAAATTCGATTGAGAAAGGACGAAAAGTTCGTAAATTGTACGATATAATTTGGAGAATTTTAAAAAAATTACAAATGAATGCAGAAATTCAATTGTTTTCAAAAGTAATAAAATTCATATGGCTTCGAAACTTTAGTTTCGTTTTAGTTTTGATTCCTGCACCAAAACTAAATTATTTTTTCGTTTTTATTTAGTTTCGAAGCCATCTTGCAGAAATTCAATTTTCAAATTTTTTTAAAAATTCCCGTCAAAATTTCAATTATCTTTAGAAATAATTAAATTCTTTTCCGAAATTCAATTATTTTCAAAAATTTGAATAAAATTTTTTTTATATTATTTGAAGTTTTTATTTTCCAATACATATTTAATTGAAGAATTTACGAATAATAGAAATTTCGTAAAATTGAATTATGTAAACAAGTGAATCTGAAAATTGTCAAAGAACTTTTTCGAAAATTATTAGAAATAATCGATTTAATGAAGAATAAAATGATTTTATCACTCGGTCATCATATCTTCATGTTTTACAGTTATGATAAATTTAATTTATAGTTTTAAGTAAAATGTTCTCTTATTTCACTCGGACTTATATTTTTCTCAGTAATTGGTCGTTAATTTTAAATTTTTTGTCCGTAAAGTTTGTATTTTTAATTACTTTCACTGGTTCAAGTTCTGATGTAGTTTTCTTTCGGCATCGGTCGGTTTTTATTTTGTCAAACGTACCTTTTCTTCTGTTTCGTCCACTGTTATTACAGTTTCAGGTAATATTTCCACTTTTTTAATGTTCAATTTCTCGATTTCCTCCACAACATTAGACTTTTCAGGCTGACTCACATCGGCTGAAGTAATTTCTAAGTACAATATTAATAAGATTCATCATTACTAAAAATAATTTGTAATTAAATTTAAAAAAATTATTTCCAAATTGTCTTGTTAGGTGCAAATTTGACATTCGAACTCTGAATACCAGAATCTGTACATACCGGGAGCGACAAGATATAAAAATATCGATTCAGTCGTTTGTAATTCTTCTAAAGTAGAGTTTTCATTTTCGGCTAAATTTTTTCCAATAATCCATCGTTGAATGTTTGTAGGTATTTCAAATTCGAGGGAAATTTTCGCTTTCAACTGCGCTACTGTCATATTTAGAGGGAGCTTGAAATAATATATTCAATAAAAACGTATTTTTGTAAATAATAATTATACAAATGTGAATTATTGATAGTTACCAGAAGTGGAATCGGTCCTTGATGTCCCTCTTTATCTTCAATATACATGTTGATATTTATTTCTCGTGTATTATTAATGGAACGCTGTCGAATTACCGAACATTGAATTTTTAGCTCTGCAAGTTCTTTAGCAAATATTGATGCTTGCTGATGGTTTCCGGATGCAATCGCAGCTTCTAATTTCTTTAGTAATTTATTCACAGCCAGTGTATTCATATTTTGTTTCTGTACATCATTAAAATTACGTTGTTGACGATTATTTCCTGAAACGCAAAGTTAAACTTACTGAAGTTAAAATGTTTTTCTTGTTGATTTAATGGCTTTTTGCAAAAGTTAGTTAAAATAATGTAAAGTGATACTTGCTTAAGTTAAAACAATAGAAATCGAAAGAAGAAGTAGACCTACCTGGAAGGATTAATATTTCTTGTTGATTGAATTTAGCAGAAAGAGGTTTACTTTTTTCCACTTCTTCTTTCCTCTTCAGCAACAGTTCCGCAGGTTGAACGTTTATTACAGGTCGTAGCGGTAGAATTATTTTATTGGAACAAGAAGGCTGTTGAGTAACATTAGCATAGATATTCTCAAGCCAAGGTGTTTTCACAAGTTTGATGGCTTCAATTTCGTCAAACTCCTTTGGCCTTATTAAATGGAATTTATTTAATTTGTATTTTGTTGCCGTCCCACACTCACCTCGTTTGTTCGTAAATATTTGATTCATGTTTTGCTTCGACGTCGATGGAAAATTAATAACTTTTTTCACATTACCACTTGTTTGAGCTGCCGATGAAACTTTTAGCTTCTTTTCCTCACGTACCTCAGTTACAAATTTCTCTTGACGTAATAGTTGAGTACTTGGTTTCTCTAAAATATCTTCTTTTAAATTAGTATTAGTAGTAGTAAATGCATTGAGATCATTAAAAGTACTTGTGGAAGATTTATTATTTACATTGGGGATTTCTGAATGATTCTGAATAATTTTCTTTCCCTTGGATCGTTTGGGTAGAGAATGCTTCATTTCTTTCAAAATTTCCTTCAAGTCGATTGTAACTGGAGCGTCTTGAGTGTGTGGTGTCGATAAGTTTTTTGTCGTTACTTCATCTGTTTTCTGAAGGTCAATTGATTTTGATATTTTTTCTGTCTCAGATTTATTTAATAACTGTTTAACAGACGTAGTTTTTTGCGAAGTTTCTATTTCACTTAAAAAATCAGTTTGATTTGAGGTGCTTGCTTTAGCTTCATTTCTCGAATTATTTATTTTACCCTTTTTGATGTTATTCTCTAGTTGTTTGTCAATTTCATTGAATATTAAATCTAATTCTCGAATTATAATCAATGGTGGATTATCTGCTTGAAAAATTTGTTTATTGAACGAATTCTTATTGAATGATGAAGCATTTTTTGTGTCGGGTAATCCGTTCTCGATACTGTTTAACCTTCTTTCTGTTGTAAAATTTTCTTGCTTTTCGACTTTAGTTTCCTCCCGTTTTTGAATTTTTTCAACTATTTTCTCTTGAGTATCATTTTTGTTTAGTCGTGTTTTATTCTTGGAGTTTTGTTTTAATTTTGGAGACTTTTGATGCGAGATGAAGTACCTAGAAAGATCTTGCTTTTGTTCAAATCTTCTTTCAACTTTGTTCTTTTGTTCGCTGGACCCAATGTCACTGAGGGAAGAATTTTTACTCTGATTTTGAATTCTGTCACTTAAATCAACTCTCTGGGTTGTTGGGGAATTTTTAGAAAAATAATTCGTATTCACAGTAACTTTTGACAGATTTGTTATAGCGTTAAATTTTGAAATCAAAGCACGAGTACTTTTTCTGGGAGAAGAGGGGACAAAGTCTTCATTATCGGTAGATTTATCTACCTTCAAGTCGGAAATATTATTGTTCTGCAAAAATGACGACACCTTTGCTCTGGCTTGCTCTTCCTGAACAATGGCAGCAGCTTCTTTGTCAAGTTCACTGATATTAGTCAAAATGGAAATACCTGATTTTCGTTTATCTCTTCTGTCTTCTGAATTTCGGTCCGTTCGGTGAAAGAAATTCAACTTTGAGAGCGAACCGTCGAAGGGAAAATAAGTGACCGAAGAGGCGCAATCTTCCCGCTTTTCACTTGATGTTGAACTTGGATAAATATCTTTTTTGCTTGCTGTGTTGGAATCAAAAACACTTCGCTTATACCAGGGACGAGGCATTGCTCTATCGAATGATTGCACTAACGTTGAGGACTGACTTTCCTTTCCTTTGACAATTTCAGCATCAAAAATTGCTTCTTCTGTCGAATTGGAATCACTGGAATTTTTCGGCAGGAGAATTCCACCTCGTAATATTAATGTGTCATTACTAATGGTCGGAGAAATTTCTTTGTCATTTGAAATGTAAGAGTTTGTTTTAATGGTTTTTTTACCTTTCAAATTGGTGTCATCTGGAGGTGGTGGTGCTTGTCGTTTGGTCCGTCTTTTCGTTTTAAATGACGACTGTCTGGCATTGCTGTTGGAAGCAGGAGGATTTGGGGCACGACGTTTACCTTTTACATGCACTTTTTTGCCCTTTAGCGAATTACACCACTTATTCTCTGGTGCAGGAATGTTTCCACATGAATTAAAGGAATTCGATGGCTGAAGAGAGTACCTTTCGGTAATATCCCTTTTTTGTAAAAAAGTACTCGGTAGAGTGTAATTGACATTCGCCAAGTTATTACCCGTTTTTTCAAGCAATTTTACAGCACCCGAACCAAAGGGACCGATATCCACTGACAATTGTTGTGGGAAATTGAGATTCAAATCATTACACTCTTGAAATACACCAGCTTGAAAAGCAAAACTATGAACAGTTGTTGTGCTATAAAACGTAGATACACTTTCGGTACTTGACGAGAGATTCTCTTCCTCAAAATTTGTACTTTTACTGGAAACTTTCTTGCGACGTTTTCCAATTGTCGAGGAAGTGCGATTGCCCCGCTTGAGCCACTTGAATAACGAAAACCGATTATTTCCTCTGACAAAAGATGCTGCTTTCGTTTCAGTTCTATTAGAGGGTGATACTCCGCTGCCTATTTCTGAATTCTCGACAGAAGAAATTGCTTGACTTGTTGTACCATTGAAATACTCGCACATTCTCCTTCTCTCTCACTCTCTGTTTCTCTCTTTCTCACTGCACTACTGTTTTAAAATGTATCACAAAATTGTTAGTCGTCAGTTCGGGTTGTACGTCTTTTTCGGTCTCTTCCCTCTCCTCTTTGCGTATCGCGATTTCACCAAGTTTTGCAAAAAATTTTAAGCACACTCCCACTACTCGATCATTATAATTTTCACACAAATAAATTATACTCGACTTAATCGATTAAATATTACGGTTGACTATAATTAGAATGACACCTTCAAAAAAAATGAAAAGCACTAATGATTTTTGACGAGAAAGAAGGTGATGTTGCTGAACTCACGACAAAGATACGTGATTTCACTATTAATAGATGGATCATGCTTCTCCCGGCGTGGGTTATTTTCAAGTCCACTTTATACTTGGAAAGAGAAGAGATATATTTCTTAAAAATATCTTATTCTCATATCAAATTAATTTTTTCACAAAGTCTTTTGTACCAAGGAATTCTTCGTGTTGTATCAAAGTAAACGTTATTTTAGTATGAAACATTTTTGAAAAACAGAAATTTTTTTATTTTCAACATAAATTAATCAGAAATTATATGGACTCATTTGTACTTTTAAAGCTTTTTTTAAAACAAAATTTATTAAATACATTATTGTCAAGATTCTTCTTTGTCGAGAAAAAGTGAATACTTAAGTGTACAAAATTTGTTCTTAACAAAAATGCGTTTTATTTGGATATAATGGTAACTTACAATTCTTGTTCGTAAAAAATAGCACATCAAAAATAAAATATAGAAAATATTTCGAGTGTTATAAATTCTTAGACTAATTTTCGAAAAATTGTAATATATTATTATTCCTAAGAATTCTCTTATTGCATACGTATCTATACACATTAAATTCATCACCCATTTTTTACCAAGTATTATTTTTTCTTTGAGCGAAGTTAATGATTGACATTATTTGACATTAGTGTTTATGCTCTCGTTTGAAATTTTAATTGATTTACATTTAATGAATTAATTACATATAATTAATTCAGAGGCACTTCTTCAATATTTACGGTATTTTACTTAAAAATAAAAGTAACAGTGTAAGTAACTTTTACAGCCTTTATATTATTAGAATAAAATGGAGAAAAGAAAGATTAAATGATAAAATTGGAATGAATTATGAAAAAATAAAAGTGACTAGCGATCAATATATAATCTCAAAATTTTTTTCATACGACCGAATAATCTTCCAAGAGAGTTTCACCAAAGTGCGTAACGACATAATCGTGATAGTACATCATGATGCATAAAGGCTGACCAATAATGAGACTCGCCCAAACGACAATGTTACCCCATCTCGCTCCACAGTGTTTTTCTACCATTTTACTCATGACAGACAGCGGTATCTGAAAGGAAAATTGTTTTATTGACATTTAGTTTTTGAAAAATAAAAATCTACTATCGTTTACCTGGCCCATCATGCCCATAAATGCCCAGATTTTGAATGTCTTCAGAGGCACACTGACAAGATATTCGTGAAAGAAAGCGCTGATGAAGAAAACAGTGACACTTGCGGTAGTTTTACCGTAACCCATTTCCACTACTGGAATATAAAGATGTCTAAAATTTAAATTTGACAGTTTTATTGCCCGTAGTAAATTAATATATGTTAAAATAAAGGCTTACTATCTCACCTTACAGCCCATCGATGTACTGGCATATTCCAACTTCTCCAGAAAGTATCGATATTATTTGCGTTCCACCAATCGCAATAAAAATTTCTATCTGCAAAGTGTAGCAGTTCACCCATTAAATTCAGATAAGAATGAAATGACAGGTAGAAAAAGCACAGCCACATTAAGTGATTTGGTATCTGCAACATTCCAACAGAAATAATTTAAAACTTTTAATGGTCCCAAATCATTTTCTCTGCAATTAAGGTTTATTAATTTATTTATCGAATTAAACTTAAATATTAAATAATAACATATTTTCATTATACTTTTATGTAGTTTGGTCGTATTACAAACGAATAAGTACAGTGTAGATATAAAGTACTCACAGCTAATTTAAGTAGACGTTCGGAAGCCTTAGCGACGTCCATGTTCTGTAAAATAAACAGAAAACAAAGTTTGATAATGTACACACACAATACACGTAATAAAAATAAAATAGAAATTCAGCAAATTTGAAACTTACACTGAAAGGAATCAATGAGTTTTTAACAGATGGAACCATCCATTGTTGAAAGAGTGACATGACAACTTGACAACCGACAAGAACTTCAAGTATGCGTTTGATTAAAAATCTTTAAAAATAATTCAAAATTTGTGAATTAAATTTAAAAAATGATGGAAGATATTTTTTCTAATACAATATAGTAGCAATATAGTACCTTTTACGGATTCTTTCGGTTCTTGGAAAATTTAATTCGTAACAGAGGGTTGGAGCGAGAATGTAATAATATAAATCACGAAGATTCAAGTTATCTGGATACTGTGTTAGTGATGTACAATTCTTCGATTCATTTTTTGAGTCATCTGATTCGTAACCGTTTTGTTTTACTCCCGAAGCTAAGGAAAATTAAAAGAAATACTTATAAATACATTATGAAAAAAGAAATTAATCGAAAATTATTCTACTCACACTTTAAATTATTATAAGAAAATGATTGTCTTCTTATTTTGCCATGATTTGTGTTTTTTCCCTTAACACTGAGGCGACACCACATATTAACTTGAATGTAAGACCATAATTTTAGGAAAAGCATGGCATATAACATACATACATACATCGCTCCAACTTGAAAAAGAAAAAAAAATTTGTTAATGTGTATTTAGATAAAGATATTAAATTGCTCACATTTCATTTGTAGCAATTTTGACAACAATATTCTTACTCAAACTGAAACCAGAATCTTTCACATGAATAACAACCATTGGCATTAGCACCATTACAACAAGGTTCACGACATGAAAAACCATTCCTGGACCATGTGGTACAATATCCTGTGACAAAACAAAAAAATTATTTTTTTTAAATTTATCTTTCTGTAACAAACAATATTCGAAATGGAAATTAGTGGAAAATTAGTGAGTGCCATACCATAGCCAATCCCTTTTCAATCAGCAGGCAAAGCGATGTTGGTACTGAAGAATCTAAGCCATAAAACATTTGAAAATTAAATACATGACATAGTTGAGAGTTGATTAAAAAATCCGAATTCCTGTCAAATATTCAGTATACTTTAAATATTGTTAAAATACATTATTAATATCAGGAAACGTATATAGTACCTCGATAACCTCCCCCAGTTAGTTTAAAGATAAATTAAACTTTAAAAAAGAATTTGCATTAATTTTTGCCCATACTTGAAAAATTATATACGTACAAATAATATTTCTTTTATTTTAGTTTTTTAATTACTATGATAGAGTGTGAATTGCAAATTAATGATAATAAATTTCATTTGTACAGAATTATTTTAATAATGGAATACACTTACACAGAATTAATAAAAGAGAAGGATGTTCTTTTCCTCCGTCGTTTTTTCCACTTAAAAACGTAAACCATTGTACTGGATCCACTCTTATTCCATATCTAAAATTGTTTAGTTATATACAGTTATGGTTATTTTTATTAAATTAACTAAAAATCAATTTAATTTTATGCTTTCAGTTTCTTGTTTTGTAATGTACATATATTATTGAATGAAGTTTGATGAAACAACATAAAATTGATAATTATTTTTTTATACGTCTAAATACCAGCTTATTATGTTGTAAGTTTTTTTTAAAAATTCCATTGCATAAATAAATAGAAAAATAAAAATATTAGTATATGCAATATAAACTTTTAGTTTGAGTTCAGCTGCTTAAGAAAAACTTACTTTATAAAATTTTCCAAAAGTAGACGTATACCGCCAATGCCTAAAAGTAAGAAGCCCCAGTTGACAAATCCTGTGAAGTTGTCAAACCCGGAACTCCAGGAAAAGAGACTGTCTCTTGGTCGATGGCATCTAAGACAAAGTGAAAAAATTAGAGTTCACAGGAATTAATTTTATACTAAAAGACGTAAGAAGAGGAAATTAAAATTCAATTCTCAACCATTATAATTCAAAATTATATTTTTTAATTCTTTTAGCAATATAATTCATCTTTGTACATTTATATTCTTTTTAATTTCTGACAAAAACTTTATATGTGACGCATCTCGGTGAAAGGGACCTAACGTGACAAAAGATTCAAGGTTATGTTTACGAGTGTTTTACCTTGATTAATAAGTATACTTTTTATATTCTGTGAAACCGAAAGTAATTTAATTATAACCTTAATTACTTATCGAGTTAAGTTCCTTTTACTGCGTAAAGCGTCAAATATACATTCTAATTATACTTAGGGTAATTGGAGTTGAAATCAATTTAATTCTTTTTAAAAGACTTTGGAAAGCTAATGAATTTTTTTAATAATATAAAAATACTGATGACATTTTAATTAATTTCCTTCTTTTTCTTATAAAAAGGAATTCAAGTGCATTGAAATGACTGCAAATATGATAAAAGTTCACAATACTTTTAGTTGCAAATCAAAGTCATTTTTCCAAATTTTTTGTAAACAATATATTTTAATCAATATTTAATTGGCTAATTATTCCTATCGAGGTAATATAAAAATAAGTAGCACATTGTTTTTTATGGGTATAGTAAGTACATAGTGATAAAAAATACATCAGTGTCACAACAATAGTTAAGCAAGTAAATAGTTGCATCAGATTGAAATGCATTATAAAATAATCCCATAAATGAGGGTTTTGTAAGTTTAAATTAATATAATAATGATATGATAATAAAAAAATAAATATAATAATACACGTTTTCGTATATTATATATATGCGGTTAAAAAAAATCCTTTTATATAATTCTAAAAGGGTTTGTTATTTCAAAAATTCAACAACCATCACGTGCATAAAAATAATAGGCTCCCAGTGACGTTACAATATTGATCTTTGTACTGATTGCAAAAAATACTAATAAAAAGCATGCACAAAAAAGTATAAGTGGATATTATATATATCCCTCTCTCAATTTATAAAATCTTGGCGCCGACGCAACAACTCTCGCGCCAGTCTCATCAAAGGTTATGATTACTTGTACGCCTTGAATTTTAATAATAAAAGCAAAATTATATATCAAGACATTTTCAAACACGAGTAAATAAGACATCATTACACAATTAATAGTTTAAGTAATAAATTTTGTAAAACAATTTCAAGTGTCCCAATTGATATTAAAAGAAAAATTGAATCAATTGCATAGTTTATAAGGGAATGAATATATGTATATATATACACTCACGGTTTATCAGGTTGTGACCTGCGAACCATCTGCTCTGCTTTTTGAATTTCCTCAGCTCTTGTTGCACTCTTTGCCCTTCTTAATCTCACTTTTGTATCATTTTCGTGATCAAACGTCATCTTAACTTATAAAATCTTCAAATCACTCACGCATTAACCGCAACTATACGTCCGGTCCGGTCTGGATCTTCGTGACACTATGTTATAATACCTGCACGTAACATACGTGTATGATATTGTGTGCGTGGACTTTGATATTCTTCCCGCTTTAAATTAAAAAATTAATAGATTTAAAGTCATTATTAGATGGAAACTTGGAGGAAAATTTTTTTTTTATAAAACTTATTAAAATTGACGCAAATTTCAATAAATGTAAATTTTTTCAAACTTCTTTTTGTCAAAATATTTGAAATTAAATAATTTTGTGTTAGAGGGAAAAGGAAAAATTAAATTGGTATTGAATAATTCACAATAGAAATAAGTTTTCATTTTTTTTATTCAACTATCTACAGAAAGCAATTTACAATTAGGATCTTCAATAATTGAAATAAATGAATTTTTATATTTGAAACTGTGTTGTTAAATTTATTATTAAAGTCATTCAAATTGAACAAAAAAATTGTTCGCTTATCAAACATAACATTCTCTTATACTGTTTTGAATATTTACAAAAATTGAAGCACCTAAATCAGATGTTTCTTGTTTCACTTTAATAAACATCTAGAATTTTTTTTTTTGCTATTTCGTATAAATAGCGCAAAAATAATGAAAAAAATATATACTTATGTGCCATGGCACCTTGTTCTAAGTCAATTCTCTTTTCAAATGTTTTTTTTTGTAAAAAAGAAACGTGTATTTCGCCAGCCCAATGTGTATCTTTTCTTTATCGCTATGAGTGTAAAATTAATACCGTTTAAAGGGCTTTTTTCATTTTTATATACTTACATATTTCATATTTTTACATCAAGACATTTTTTTAACTACATACATACATTCATTGTAAAAATTAACTCGAAAAATCATGTTCTGTTGAAATAGTTTTGGTTAAAAATTTTTCTTACGAGTTGTTTTTGAAATTTTTATACATTGATTATTCTGTTTTTTTTTATTATTATTATTATTTTTGTAATAAATTGCTATACTAACTTGTGTTGTTGCAGGCTTATTCTACTGCTTTAATATTCAATTGGCAGTAAGTTTCAAATAAGGTTTCTATAAAACATTGAATGCCAAAGTATTTTTTAAAACGTTTTGCATATAGAGTCATTGTAAAATTTGCATCTTTGTTTCGAATTACTTTTAGAATTAATTATATTTAGGAAGCCTGCCAAAATTAATTGAAAAGATTGAAACTAGTACGCAACATTCGCTATAATTTTGGCATTGATTGAGACGATGGTGGTGTTGTCAAATTATGAATACCGTCAAGCGATATTTTCGCAGCACTTTGTAAATCATCCATACTTCGCATTGTTTTCGATGTTAGGTCATCAATTTGACGTCGTGTTTGACACAGAAGTTCGTCAGTCGATTTTACAGCACTGCTTGCAAAATCTTTAACTTCTGATTCGAGTTTGTCTATCACCCATTGCATAGCCTGTCTTCCCTAAAAACAAAGAATAAACTACTTAATATTTAACTTTTAAAAAATAATCCTGCATAACTTTTTTAATTAACGACAAATAATGAGAACTTATCGTAAATGATCAAATGACTTGCATACCTTTCCCGCATTGAAAGAAATTCTCGAAGTCAAAAGATCTTCCATATAATGTGTTAGAGGAACCCCTTGTACTAAGACGACAGCTTCCTGAGTAAGTAGAGTTTTGGTTGCATCGTGAGGATGAGGTAAATATTTTACAGTTTCGTCAACTTCGATATAGTTGCCAAATGTCAACTGTAACGTATGATAAGTTTCAAGTTTATTAAAAATTAAGAACTTATTACGAATTACTTACTAGTCTATATACTTACATTTCTCGTTCTAAGAACCATTTCTCGGTTGGTCGGATCAACCTCACTTCGTTCGCTGGCATAACAAATATTCGCATGTCCGATTATCTAAAAATAAAATAGTAAATATTAAATAATTTTATTTAGTAAATACTTAGTAAATCTTAGGGAAACAAACTTTTCTTATTTAAGCGTAGTGCACCTATAAAATACTAAATGCATTATCGTGTTAATGATTTACGATTTGACAAAGCTTTATCTCTATTTGAATTACAGTAGAGACTCCATTATCCGGACAAATTTAAAATTAAAATTTTTTTTTTTTTAATATAAAGTTTATAAGGTCTCAAGCCGTTGACTTTTATTTTAAATTTCTTTACACGAAATGTTGCGTTTTAAAGTGTTTTAATTATTTTAAGAAAATGTTTATGTAAATATTTTGAAATATTTCTAACTAAATATTTATTAATGTTGACTTTAAAAGTTTTAGTTTGTTTCAGTCTTATTTTAAAACATATGCAAATAAATACATAAAATTATGAATAAAAAATTTGTTTAATTCGCACTTTACTCGATTATCCGGACAAGTGCCTGCATCCATTAGTCCGGATAATGGAGTCTCTACTGTAATTTCTTTAATGTCTCGATCACTCTAATTTAAGAATTGAAAAATGAATGACGTCCTTCAGTTATGTAATTTTGATGAAGAAATTTTATTTGGAAAGCATATGCAGACATTTTTTCGTGTGTTATATGTATATACAAATGCGAGAAGTAACAAAAGTGTGTACCTATATCACATATGTGAAGCTCTGTATTACGTAATATTCAGCAACTTTGATTTTGTATAAATCTAAATTTGTAACCTATGTAAATATGAATTGTAAACAATTTTTCAGAAAAAAATATTAATATAATAAGAAAATCAGCTTATAAAAATTGAATATATATAAATCATGGAAGTAGACAGTTGGAAAATAAATTTGTAAGAAAATATTTTATCCCGAACATGATTTGAATTTACATCTTTAAACAGGAAAAATTTCTTATAATAAATAATTTTAGTTCGATTATTGTTATTATTCTTATAAAAACAACACACGAGGAAAGTAACATTTAGAAAAATTTCGATAGCTTTCATTTAGTTGAATTTTTCAATTATTTAATAGTCTAGAAACAAAGATATAAATAATATTAACGAAATACTTACAGCTTGTGCCCATTTAGGAAATCCCCATTTACTGGAAACCAGTCGATGTGTATGTAAAACACCATTTTCAACTTTTCTTTCAATAACGTCAGTTCCAATTACTGCAGGATTCATGGGATTTGGATATTTTCTCCATGCTGCTTGAGCAACTGTTTCCCAAGGGTGACTGAAAGTGATAATGCAAGTGAAAAAGAAAGGAAACCATAAATTCTCTTAATAAAATTGCCCTTGAAATTAATTTATAAGTACCTATAGAGGTTATGGAGGAATGGCTAGATTTAATGTTTACTTATTAGCTACAGTAATCTTTTTAAATTTAATACTCGTGTTAAATATTTAATTTACTTCAAGCACTTTAAACTAAACTTAATAATAAATGCAAATAAGAAAACAAAGGGTAAAATAAGATAAATCTTTAAATCCATCAGGATTTAAAGCACACTGTAAAACTCACTTAAATGTATGTTCCGATGTCCAGATCTTCATAATTTATCAACTTTATAAAATTAAACTAACGCCACAAATAAAACACTGATGGGAAAAAGTTACAAAAGTGCACAGTTTTTAGTGCACTGAGATTCATTAAACGGATAAAGAGAATCTGATTGAATCTGATCAAACTCGTGAATAACCTGACGTAAGAGAACGAAAATGGCAGGGATGAATCATTAACTTGATTTAACTCGTAATTTACGTATAATTGGTATCTATACCAATGTAATACGTATTGTAGTGTAGTTAATTTTAAGCTTGTTTCACAGTTTAGAATAAAGGTGCTCAGCAGGGTGGAGACAGTAAATTTATACAATCTTTTCGACCACAGCGCCATCGTTTTCTGTGAGTTAGGAGGAATCCCATTATTTGACGCTCTTATATTTTTAAGAGTTTCCTGTTTTCGTACTTTGCGTTTGCATAAACAAAGCTTAAACCATTTTGTCAAATTTTGCATAAACATTTGCGAGCACAAAAATAACAAGAATTAAAATTTATTACTCTCCATTCTTGACATGCTAAAATTTATAACAAATAGAAAAACAAATATTTTGTCGTATTTTAGTGAAATGTTTCAATATTCTTCAAATACGTTACTAAAAAGAATATTAAATGTAAACAAACGGTATTTTATATGTGTATATTAAGGAAATAAATATACCAGTTGTAATTTACATAAAAATGAGTAAGTACTTTTATAAAATATTAATATTATTAGACAGGGAATTTTTTACCAAAGTTAAATATATTTAAAATGGTCTATTTTCTCTAAAAATTAAAATTAAAATTAGAATTAAAGTGTAATTTTTATAATTTTCTTTGTTTTCATAAAATAAATAATTTATTTATAAAAGTGGGTATTTTTCTAAAAACTGGTTACACGTTTAGAGAAAGGTATTACATGAGTTGTTACATTACTATTGAAATTACTATTGCTTTCATTACTATTGAAAGTAAAAGCTTTCTATTAATTACTTTATACCTTATTTATAAACTAAAATTGTGTATAATTTTTTTAATTATTAAATTTTGACTTTCGATTTTTTATTAAAACTTATTTTTTAAACATCCTAAATAATTATATTATGAAACTTTTATGAAATACATAACTAGGTAATTTCAAACATATTTTGAAATTTACTTTATATTCAAGGAAGTGTGGGTGGTTATTCTAAAGCTTATTGAGGACACACAGGAGTACAAAGTGTTAATTTGATATTCATTTCGTTTCTTTTACGCAGGAATAATAGACGCACATATTTCGTCGATTTTATTCCCTACTTTTGAGATGAGAAATAAAGACTTTATTATTTTATTAATAACATTTATAAATATACTTATTTTAACTGAAGGGAATTATTTAAATATTAATTTACCTAAGAATCACCTTCAGTATTATTTCAACTTTTTTCCTGCGGAGGCGAAAAAGTGTCTGGATGATGCATCATGTCCATACAAGGTGAGAAGACAAATTTTATTTTTAATTTTACAACAGAATTTATATTCTGCTCTATCAATTTTTGTCTGACAATTGTCAAATTGTAATTTATTTAGTAATACATTTTTAAAGTTAACTAAATTTTGTACGCAGTTTACTAAATATAATGTAGGATTATTTGAAAAAATGTTTTTTAATATGATGTAATTTTTTAAATGCAGGATAAATTAAATACCAAAGATTGTTGGGGATATGAAGCATCTTGTGAATCTGAAAATTCCTTCTCCATTCCGCATTGCCCTGGCGAACATAAAGGATGGGTTGCTACTAAAAATGCTCAACTAGAAACATTTTATGCTCAAGGAGATTTTGGTTACGTGAGAGATCAAAGACGTGAAATGATGATTTTCTGTGAACCCCTTTTCATGGTAACGATACTTTTTAAAACTATTAATTTTCATATTAAATGCATTAATAAACCATGGAAACAATGTCATTTAAAAATTTTATAAATTTGTCAGGATGACTCTTCACTAGAGTGTACAGAGCATATGCGATTTTGTAGAGGTCGAAATATTATGATAAATTTTACGGATTTGATGCACAGAAAAGATCCTATTAGATATAAAATGGATGTTTTAAAAGAAGGACAAATTGGTGGTTACTGCAAGTGAGTAATTTTTTTATTATTCAAATTACTATTAGTACTTTTTAAATTACTAGAGAATAATTAAATTTTTGTTTCTAGATTGAATTGGAAGAGATTAGAAGAAAATGCAGATCACATTAGTCCTCTACAATCTTGGGGACCTGAAATACAAAATTTTCGAAGTTTACCTCGTAGACCAATTATCGAAGGAGATTGTGATGTAGTTGTAGAAAAACCTACTTATATAATGAAAATTGATGCTAGTAAGTGGTAAATCTAAAAACGTGTCTTTCATCAATAGAATCGCTATTATTATTAAATATTTTATTGCAGCAGTGAACATGTATCATCACTTTTGCGATTTCTTCAATCTGTACGTATCGCTACATGTAAATCAAACACATCCAGCAGCATTTACGCGAGATAATCATATTTTGATATGGGAGAGTTATACTTATCGTTCGACATTTCAAGACGCATTTAAAGCATTTACAAAAAATCCTCTTTGGGATTTAAAGACATTCAAAGGAGAAACTGTTTGCTTCAAAAATGTAGTTTTTCCTCTACTGCCGAGAATGATTTTTGGATTGTATTATAATACTCCTCTTGTAAGTATTACTACTCTGTTTAAAATAAATTTATTTTAGTTCAAAGTAAATTGCATTAATATAATAATGACAGGGTTTTACATTTTTCTTCAGATTTACGGTTGTGAAAAAAGTGGCCTTTTTAAAGCTTTCGCAGATCACGTAATGCATCATTTACATGTTGATTTGCAAGAAAGGCAGGACGCAAAATTACGTGTCACTTTACTTTCTAGAGATACTCAATATAGGAGAATTTTAAATGAAGATGATTTGATAAGAGCTTTAAAGCAAAATCCAAATTATGAAGTACAAAAGGTAAAAGAAAATAGTTTTCATAAAGAAATAGTTGTTATTACGTATTTGCTTATTTTAATTTAATAATTTAGTATTGGAAGCTCATTCATATATGACATTACATTTTAGGTTGTGTACAACAAAAATTTACCTTTCACATCGCAATTAGAACTTTCGAGAAATTCTGATATTTTTATTGGAATTCATGGTGCTGGTTTAACACATCTTTTATTTTTGCCAGATTGGGCATCTGTCTTCGAATTGTAAGTTGATTCATTTATGATACAAAAAAATTATTTTTACACTTTTTTCGTAATATGTACTTGTTTTACGTTTCAATAATTTTTTAACTTGAAAGGTTCATTAATTATTTATTCGTTTTAGATATAATTGCGAAGACTCGAGTTGTTATAAAGATTTAGCTCGTCTACGAGGCGTGAAATATTTCACGTGGACAAATTTAGAGAAATTAATTCAAGAAGATCCGGTAAGTTATTAAAGAAATTGGTAAAACCAAAAACTTTTTCATACTTGTTAAAAAAAATAATATTCTTTCATAATAAAGAAAGTAGTAATAATAATTAACTTGTATTTTTAATAGGGTACTCATCCAAATGGAGGTGCTCATGCAAAATTTACGAACTACAGTTTCGACGTCAAAGAGTTTTTACGAATAGTTTCTCTCGCTGAGAAGCATGTAAGAAATCACAAGGGTTTCCAAGAATTTATTAAGAAAAATCTTTATATAGGTGAGAAAGAAACAATATCCAAAGATGAACTTTAATATACATTTGTATAGAAGAAGATAAAACGAATTTATTTTAAATTCACTTTTTCAATAGGAAAATGTGTTTACAAACTCCGATCTTAAACTTTGTGATATCAGTTTTTATTAAATTAAATTTTTTAAGAACGCAATGTGTCAAATGATTTTTGTCTTCGTATTTGACACTTTGCGTTGCATTGTAACATTATTCCGTGAACAAAACGTGTTACCGTTCTATACTGGTTTTTTAAAACTATAAGTGAAATTAATTTGTAACAGTATTGTCGTATAAATAAATTTATATTTATTTTTAAAAACATTTTACAATGGAAAATTTACTAAAAACGCTTAGTAGATATTTACAATTTTATTTGGAATTTTAATCGATAACAAGCTAGAACAAAAAATATGTTAATTGCCATATAAGCTATAAGTATATTCACGGCTGAGGTGTTTTCAGTATAAAGTGTTTTGATGGACATGTTCACAGTTCCTGTCAAAATATTGGCCAAGAGAAAGAAAGCTAAACCGTTATAATTGACAGCTTCGAAAATCTCGAAAGTTTCAGAAAAAGTTTGCGTGGAAACGGGTTTTTTTAATTTTTGATTATTTGCTCTTTTTGTATAGACTTTGATATCGGGAGTAATTTGTTTTGTTTCGTGTGGGATAAATATTTCTATGATAATTTCAACTAATACAAGTAATGTTAGAAATGTACTGCTGAGAGTGATAATCCAAGCACAATATCCGCTGTTAGTGAGTCGCCTAGAAACTGAAAAGTACGAATCACAAAATATAGTAACGCCGAGTGCTTGAGAAGCTATCAAACATAGCTTTATACAAAGTATCATCGATTGATTATAAGCCACATTAATGTTGTATTTTAGAAGTTTAATTTCTAAAACAGATTTCTCTTGAGATTTTCTGGAATTAATTTTTGAATTTTGAAAAGTCGAGTGAATAACTGATCCAACGGACAATGCAATCAAGTAAAGCCCTATGTAACCAGGAAGTGAAACCAAACCTTCCCGATTTGCAGATACGAAATCATATCTAGAACCTTCACTCAAAATCCATTCTTTAAAATCTTTGTTACTTAAACCATATTCATACATCATTAGCAACCAAATTCCGGACAAAAGAGAATATTTACAAGTTATTCTTTTAGGAATTAAACTTGTAAACAGTTTGACAAAAGCTAAAGTTAAGAAAAAATTCCAATGAACTCCGTATTCGGTAATGTGTTTCTGATACCCGAGATATTCAATGGCAAGAAAACGCCAAAATCCTAAAACAAAAAATGGCATGCAGCTTATAATGGACTTGATTATTTCAGATAGTGCCATTTTCTTATCTATCATTTTGTTCCTTGCCTCAGGTGCAACTAGAGCATTGGCTATGATAAAAAGTCCCACACCAGTGTCCATTAAACTATATCCATACACTTCAGTTTTCGCAAATTTACGTGGAAACACTTTAAAATCTACTGCAAGAATACAGACGACTGTTATAATATTAACCAAGGCTCTAAAGTTTGTTAAAAATGACAGTCTTTTTGATTGAACAGGTACAACATTTTCCTTCAATTGTGGACATTTTCTTGTGGCAATTAAAAGAAAGGCTATTAATGAAACTATGAGCATTGAAGAACAAACATGAATTAAGTACTCGGATAATACTGTACAACATAAAATACATGGACATATCGTTAATGAAAACTCAATAATTACTCGAATATTGGAACTTAATTTTCCTCTGAATAAACCTAATATTGACGTTGTAAGTAGAATGCTACATATATTTGGCAGTAACACGAAAATAACTTCTTGAGCTGTTGTTCCCGCATGATTGGAAACAAAGTTTTCTTGTTGTTGTCGATAACGTTCATGTTCCGATAAAGTCATATCTGTTAAAAAAAAATTTAGATATTATAGTTCTGAATACAAAATGGAATGTACAAATATTGTTTTGTACATACAATTATTGTCAATTATAGAATATTATTTTTAATTACCTGTATGAAAATATTTTTCCGGCTGATATTGACAGTTAGGTATTCATTTAAACTTTTCAGTAATATTAAAATTTTGTTACTTTTATTTTAGTTAACTTTCACTGGTCACACACATCTTGGCACATTTTTAAGAAAGTTCTTTTTTAAATTCCATAAATTTTATAATAAATAAATATAAAATAAAGTTTATGACACGTGCATCATGTTGTCAAACCCATCATATTATTATGATTTTAGACAATTGTCTTTCACTGGAAAAGAAGAATACTATTATACCAACAATAACTTTAGTCATGAAGTACCTGAAGTACTAATTTCGTACTGTCATAACGGCAGATTTCCCCAAGTTCATTTGACCCAATATGCTTTGTGCTGATTCTATGATAAAGGAGAAATCTGTAAAAAAATAATTATTTACGTTAGAAGATAAAGTAGATTACTTTATAGCCTATTGATTTAGTACATGTAGTTGTTGTTTGTGGCATTCGCGGCACTTGACATTTTATCAACGAGCAAACTTAAATTTGAATTATTAAATTGTAATTACAGTGAAGCCTTGATTATCCTAACTAATTGGGACAGGGCCTAATTCAGATGACCGGAAGTTCGTATAATTGCAAATATCTTCGTTTATTATTATGGGTAAATGGTTTGTTTTGAAGTCATTGTACACTATCACATGGCACTTATCTCCTTTTTTATGTATTTACATAAAATCAGAAAAAACTTAATTAATTAAATTTTCTTTATTTTTAGGGTCCATACAAATTTCGTTATCAATTTTTCAGTCTTTTTCGACCCACCCCCCCTCGTTACTATTGCGTTAAATGCATTTGCATAGCTTTTTGAACCCCCTCCCCCCAAATTGGTAACGTTGTTTATGGGCCGAATATACATTGGCGTAACGCCAGTATAGTGCCATTAATACGTTATGAGATTTTTGTACCGATAAATGTAAAATATTATATTTTGGTTTTTAGGTGGTGAAAAAGTTCGGATAATGGAAGTTCCGATAATCGAGGTTCCATATAACTACTGTTTCGTCAACAAATTGCCGGGAACGATCCGGATCGTTATTTTTGTTGTTCTCAAGTTAAAAAGTAAATAAGGAACAGTGACAATGTCAAGTGGAATGTAGTGGACTAAAATAATACACTTCTAGTGACCAGTGTGCATTTTTTTAAGAATATCATCTATCACCAAGTACTGCGCCGATTTATTTACTATCGAGTTGGGTATGTAATTTTGATCATTATATTGAGAAATTTTTGTTTATAACTATATTATGGTTTATAGATTCTCAGTAACCACGTAATGGTTTTTTTTTAAACGTAAAATTTTAATATAAAACGTATATGTTTCCCTTTTAAATATTTTGATGGCGCAGTATTTTTCACTGCAAAAATAGGCAACTATTTTTTTTAAAGAATTAAACAATCCGAACATTAGTCTAATTTTATTATTTTTTATATTTTGGATGAAAAGGATATTAAATTTAAAATTCTTTTTGGTGAAAGGGTTTGAATTTAATTGCATCTAAATAGAAATTATAATTTTATCATTAAGAAACCTTTTTTACATTTTAGGTTATGTTATTACCAACATTGTCGTTTATTGATGGAAAATTGTAACGTTTATTCAAATGCAACGTTTAATAAAATTGTTTAAAATGTTGAAAATTAAATTCTTTACTCTCGCACTAAAACAATTTAAAATTTAACTTGTCTTTTATTTTCAATTCGAAAAAATTTGACTTTGTTTTGATGGTTTAAAAATAATTAAATTGTTGAAAAATGAATTCTGGAAAAATTTTTACACTTTATTTTACGATTCGTACTGAATTGTATTTTGTGTCTTACAAACATACAAATTTCATACATCTTTTTGTAACTTTTTTTTCATAAGTAACTTATCTATAATATGTAGGCGAAATACAAACCTATATACATTGTCACTAGATCGCTCGACGGCGCCTATCGCCAACGCGAATATCTTTGTTGATATTATAACAGAAATATTTAGGGTATTGCGCTTTTCCGAAGAGCTTAATATTGGGTAATAAATAGATAATTGGTATATCAATTATTATAAACCAGTTATAGAGTTTAAAAAAAATGTGTGAGTTTTTCGATCAAACCAAAATGTGTACAATTTCTTTTTGTTGTCTCTTTTTTGTTAAGGTGTATAAACATTGAGATATTGACACATTTTTAAAGTATATACTTATTTGCAATTTTAAATTTATTTTCTACTTGCATGTAAATATATGCCTCGACCGTTACCAGCTTCTTCGGAACCAAATTCTTCACCGAGTCAGGTGTATAAATAATCTCTGCATTATTTGCAACAGATGCACAGGTGCACTGCAATTGCAGGTGCAGTATCCTTTCGAATCGAGCTCTCTTGTTTCTACATTCCTATATAGGTGTAAAGAAAGTGGCATGAACTCTAAAAAAGCTGCAATTTATATGGTATAAGAAATGCAAAATACGACAAAAAAAATAAATAAATAAAATAAAAGATTTTAACTTTCAAAAATGATGCAAATTCGTGGGCACTGGAATTCAAAGAAACATACATGTACGCATATAGGCTGTTTCAATAACTATAATTCTTTCGTCAAGATTCCTCTTGAACGGGTAATATTGCTTTTCTGTATAACACGTTTCAATTTATGAATATAATTTATAACTATTTAAAAAATTATTCGATTGTGGAATTTTTGTACTTCAGATATATTTGTTGGTTTTTCTTTTGTTAATATAAAACAATTTGACAATTTAATTCTTTGATAGATTTCATTTAAAATAATTTTAATTAACTTTATTACTCGCAAACCATTGCAAATACTTTAAAGTTAACAATTTGCTCTCTAAATTCGAATTAGTGAAAAGTCGATTCAAATTAATAAAAATTTACACTAATAATTCTCAGTACAAAAAATGTTACTATTTCATGTGTAGTAGTTGGAAATATTAATAGAATTTATAAATAAAATTTTTATATACGTACTTTTTTTGAAACCAATAATTTGATGACAAAGGATTCGGTTCGCGAATATTCTATATATACATGTAGTGAAGAGAAAGGGACAGAGAGAGAAAGAGATAGAAGCAGGAAAAATGATTTCCGGGTATGATGCCCTAAGGATCTCTCATCTAGATCCATTCCCGGACAGTTACTAAAAGTAGTTGTGGACTGAAACTAAAAACATATACGGGCTATGTGAGAAAAATTTTGACATTTAAAAAAAGAAAATAAAATAGTTAAAAAAGATACACAGGACTTGTTCGCGTGACAACCATTCATCTCGATCACAAAAAGATTATACTTTTTCCAGCTATTTTATGAATTTCTTTGTACGGTCAAGGAGACAGAGATTTTTTTTCAATTCCTGTTGGACACGTTAAATGTGGGCAAATGGATATCTTCTTTTTCTATTACACTTTTCTATAAAAAAAAAAAAAAACATCCCCGCGGCATATACATCATTATGAATGACTTGATTCACACTTGACGACTGTTTAGAAGGTGGAGCTGCTCTCAACAATGAAAACTTTTTTATTCGAGTGCATTGATATTGTCACGGAATAATCAACAAGTGCGTGACAACTTATAGAGTTTTCTTGTTAATTTAAGAAAAGTTTCGTTTCAACTAGTTTGAACCATTCTGAATGGTGTATATATGTATATGTATACATCAAAATATATTATATTCAAAATAAAATACATAAAAAGGAAATAAAATTATATGAATATTCATGAAAAGGAAAACAAATTTTTTAGATAAACTTTTATTATTTGTTAGCTAACCAAATTGTTAGTATTATTTAATTCAAAATATTATTGACTAAAGTACTTAAGATTTAAATAAAATATCTTTAAAAGAATTTGTTCTTCTTATTCAAGAAAAATGAGAATGTAAAAATACTGAAACAAATGCATTTCATTGTTGTAACAAATAAATTTCATCTTTACAATTTCATTATTTTTTAAAAATTGTTATACGAAAACAAAATTTAATTTGTTAGTTCTGAATAAATAATTTTTATTAAGGTATTCAATTTATTATTATTATGCACTTTACAAAATTTTTTATTTACAAATATAAATTTTTGAAAAATTTCAGATTCAAACTTTGAAAAAATTCAATTATTAACTATGTAATTTACTAATTAATTATTTTTGTTTATTAATTTCAAAAATTTTAATAAAATTTTTCGCAAGAATTCAATTATTTTCAATTACATTCTTCGTAAGAATTTAATTATTTTTATAAATAGTAAAATTTTTTGCAAAAATGCAATTACTTTTAAACAAAATTTTAATAACATTTTACGAACGAATACAATTATTTTCTAAAATTTTAATAATCCTTGGAAACAATTCAATTATTTCACAAAAGAATTCAATTTTTTTCTTAATTTGTTATAAAATATTTCAAAAGAATTTAATTATTTTCTAGAATTTTTATAAATCCATCGAAACAATTGAATTTTATTTATTTATTTATTTATTTGGTAAATAAACGGGTGAAAAGTACCCTTTACATAATATAATACATATGAGTAATATTTAGATTCTATAAATTAAACATAGGCCAGTACAGAAAATTATAATTATAAATTTTATAAATAGTAGAATTATTAGCAAAAATTCAATTATTTTTAATAGAATTTTAATGACATTTCATGAAAGAATTCAATTTTTAGAAAATTTTTAATAATATTTTTTGAAAAAATTCAATTATTTTTTAAACTTTTAATAATCCTTCGAAAAAATTCAATTATTTTTTTAAATATTAGTAAAATCTTTGCAAACATTCAATTATTCTCAAATAATTTCACGAAAGAATTCAATTTTTTTCTTAATTCGTTATAAAATATTTCAAACTCTCTCAAATTAGTAGAATTCTACTAAGAAATAGTAAAATTTGACTAATTTTTAGTAGTTTTCATGGACGACTTTTCCCCTTTTTAATTAGTAGAATATTACTAATTCTTAGTAAAATTTTACTAATATTTTAGTAGAAATTCACTAATTAAAAGTCACTCATTTCACTAAATGAATTAGTAAGACTGTTTTATCGACTATTAATAAAACAGTTCTACTAATTGTCAGTAGAATTCTACTAATCAATTAGTAAAATTTACTATTTGTTAGTAATATATTACTAAATCATTTGGTGGACGACTTTTCACCATTTCATTAGTAACTTTCTACTAATTCAGATTTAGA